GAAACAGATTAAGTTGTGATAAAGACTTATAATATGGCTTGAGATATACTGCAGTCCACTGAGAGAGTGAATGAAGCTGCAAAAACTACTGGACTAGACTCATTTTGGCCCGTGTTACTGTATATGTTCTGTAAACGTGTTTAAAAAGGGTGAGATAGCTACTGCAACTTGTCAATTAAAGGGACAGTTCACCCAAAAATGCATTTACTCACTCTTGTTCCAAACCTGTTTGAATCCATTCCTTCTTTTTAAAAACACCATTATTATTAACATATGAAAACCTGTAACCATTGACTTCCACATTGTTATTCCCTACTATGGAAGTCAGATTTCAACATTCTTCAAAATATCTTCTTTTGTGTTTAACAGAAGAAAAAAACTCACAACACTTGAGGGTAGTACATAGTAAGTTACGTTTCAATTTTAGTTTAGTTATAGTTAAGTTTCAATTTTAGGTTGAATTATACATTTCAGTTGGTTAGAGCAAAACTCTGCATGTATTTTGATCAAATATTTTTCTGTAAAATATTTTCAAAATGCAAAATGTCCTTATTAATTTCATTATTCATTTTGTTTTATTACATTTCTTGTGAATACTCCTACTTTAATGCAACACTGTAAAACATGCAGGTGACGCGGTGATGCAGTAGGTCTCTAGTTCAAGTTTCTGTGTGGAGTTTGCATGTTCTCCCCGAGTTCGCGTGGGTTTCCTCCGGGTGCTCCGGTTTCCCCACAGTCCAAACACATGCAGTACAGCTGAATTACGCTAAATTGTTTGTAGTGTGTGAATGTGAATGAGAGTGTATGGATGTTTCCCAGAGATGGGTTGCAGCTGAAACTGCATCCCCTGTGTAAAGCATATGCTGGATAAGTTGGCGGTTCATTCCGCTGTGGTGACCCCAGATTAATAAAGGGACTAAGCCGAAAATAAAATGAATGAATGAATGAATGTAAAACATGCAGGGCTCCACACAACTCCATCATGTTGTCTGGATTATTGATTGAGGTTGGGTTAATCATTTATACTAATTTAAATGGATTCAATAGTAAATTAGGTTATTGTTAGGTTGTTCCAACTCATTTTAAATAAGTAGTTTGAACAAGCAAAAAAAACATTTCTTAGTGAATATGGGCGCATAAAATCAGTCGTAAGTGTCCATTTTTGGAAATTAAGAAAAAAAAAAAGTAAAGATTTTTAGAAAATCCCTAATATTAAGCACAATATGTCCACATATTTTTGAAAATTGAAATTTGCTGAATAAATAAGTTTTACATTGATGTTTGATTTGCTGTGGTCAGGCAATTTTTTTGCCTTGTAAAAGTATTTAAAAGAGGGGTGCAGTGTGAAAATACAGCCCACTGCAACCTGTGAATTCATTGGATTTTTTTTTTGAGACAGTATATAGCAAACCATTACTTGCATCATTATATATATATATATATACCAAGAAGTCGAACTTTCTAATTCAAATTTTCTTATTATTATTCCTAATTTTATTAAGAAATAAATGACCACAGAATGAGTCATAAGTGTCAATTTTGGAAACTGAGATTTATACATAATCTAAAGGCTGAAAGCTGAATAATTATAACATATTTGAACATGAAGAGTCGTCTGAAAGATCCATCGAAAATGAACATTTTTCTCAGCCTCCTTTGTTTATGTTGAGATATTTCACTTTAAAGACCAGGAAAATGACTTATTCTTTGTCATAAAAGGGATGTTAATGAACACACACACACACAGAAGACTGATAAAAATGCTCATTTTAGAGGAAAATATTAGATAGCATTTAGAGGTGCATCTAAACTCTTCATACATATATAATTCTAATGGTTGAAATAAAACAGCACCATCCTGTATAAAATATGACCACACAACTGAACAAATAATCTTTCCATTGATGTTTGATTTTGGACAATATTTGGCTGAGATTCAACTAAACAGTAAAAAAACTATTTGCCTTTAAATTTGTGTAAATGAGGCAACACGGTGGCTCAGGGGTTAGCACTATCGCCTTACAGCAAGAAGGTTGCTGGTTCGAGTCCAGGCTGGGCCAATTGGCATTTCTGTATGGAGTTTGCATGTTCTCCCCATGTTGGCGTGGGTTTCCTCCGGGTGCTCCGGTTTCCCCCACAGTCCAAACACATGCGCTATAGGTGTATTGAATAAGCTAAATTGGCTTTAGTGTAAAAGTGTGACTAAAGGTGTATGGGTGTTTCCTACTACTGGGTTGCAGCTGGAAGGGCATCCGCTGTGTAAAACATATGCTGGATAAGTTGGTGGTTCATTCCGCTGTGATGACCCCTGATAAATAAGGGACTAAGCTGAAGGAAAATGAATGAATGAATGAATGAATGAAGCTTTCCATTGATGTTTGATTAGCTATGATTGGACAATATTTGGCTGAGATTCAACAATTTGAAAATCCTGAATCTGAAGGTTTAAAAAAAAAAAGCCTTTGAAGTTGTGCAAATAAAGTGCTTAGCATGCAGCGCATATAACTCATTTTTTAATATATATCTACTGTAGGACAGTAATAGGATATATTTACTGTACTGATCCTTTATCAACGTTCTAATGAATTTGCCAATAATTCATTCATTCATTTATTTTCTTGTCGGCTTAGTCTCTTTATTAATCCGGGGTCGCAACAGCGGAATGAACCGCCAACTTATCCAGCACATTTTTACGCAGCGGATGCCCTTCCAGCTGCAACCTGCAAACATGGCCCGGGTTTGGCAGAGGTGGCAGCATCTTTAAAGCGGCACACCAGACTTCAAATGAAGTATTTGGCCCAGATGTTAAAAACTGTATATGTGGGCCACGTAAAATCTTGACCCACTTTTAAAATGCATTATTATTTTTGAGTAAAGAACATTATTCTAACAGTCCAGCCATAAAGTGAAATGCTTCATGAGTTTATCAAATTCATTGCAGTCGTGACACACCAACATATCTGGCCCAGTTATGGGTTATTAACTTGGCTGAGACTTGGCCCAGATATGGTGCAAGTTTGGCCATTGTATGGAAGCCAGACTTGGTCCAATTATGTATCATAGTTCACTGCAGCATGTGGGCCAGGCAAAAGCTGATTGGGCCAGAGAATTTTGCTATGTTGGAAACTATTCCAGCATATGTTTTTACACAGTGGACGCCCTACTAGCTGCAACACCCACACACTCATTCATAAACATACACTACGCCCAATTTAGCTTACTCAATTCCCCTATAGCTCTTGTGTTTGGACTGGGGAAAACCGGAGCACCCGGAGAAACCCACGCGAACGTGGAGAACATGCAAACTCCGCACAGAAGCGCCAACTGACCCAGCCGGTACTCGGACCAGCGACCTTCTTACTGTGAGGCGACAGTGCTAACCACTGAGCCACCGGTTCATATTAGTAAATGCATATTACACTGTGTATTACACTGTTTATATTGGTAATTATATTAACCTCTTGACTAAAGCTCATTTTAAGAGTGATTTACAGTCTAAATAAACTGAAGTGGTATTTTTATATTATTGTGTTTAATGGCGTATGCATTTGATAAGATATGAAGTTTAAAATCTAATAAGCTAACTTCACGAATCCTAAACAGGAGAAAGATAGGAAATAAAAACAGTATAAATAAGTAAATCTGCTTAACTAAATCACAAGACAGAAAAAAACAGGAATGCCATCTTTTATCCAACTCATGCCCAGCAATGTACCAAGTACACCAGCCCCCCGAATCCATCTTTTCCCCACTCTATGATGTCAGAAAAGTTGGCTCATTTAAAGGTTGGTGAATTGGACTGGATATCCCAGAAAGAGCTCAAAGCATATCTTAACACAGTGATGTAATTTGTCTCACTTGTGTTTGGTTACTATGGACCGCAGGCGAAAAGCTTTTGTGCTTAAGAAAATCGCACTTAAATGAACGACCAAATTAAGACCCCCTCCTCGCCACCACCCCCATTACACACGCGCAAAAATCTTACACACACACTTTGTTTTTCCACACAGCGCATACTGGATTGGACAAAAACAGCGTCGCTGGTTGTAATGTAAGACAACAGTCGGGCATCGAAGAGTTTCAAAAGACGAGGAAAAACAAACATATATTTGTTTGAATGGGCTCCTGAGAAAGAGACGATAAGGAGGCGATTTGCTTGTTTTTGTGGGGCTCCTCGGATCGGCCGATTATGAGAACGGTGGCGCAGGTGCTCCCCGAATTACCATACAGCTGAGAGCAAACTTATTCCGCCTGCACACAATAGCGGAGCGCCCCGGGGATGGCCACGCGAGCAACACACACACACATGCAAGCTACACACATACACACACACACACGCGCGCGCGCGCGCTTCGGACTCTTTCAGTGCACGCGTACACACACACAAACGCGCACACACACAGCGGAAAAGGGGAAAGCAAGTGGAGAATTTGGCCTCCATACAAATGATGCGTATTCTTTTGTGAGTTTGCCTGACGCGCACACACACACACACACACACACACACACACACACACACACACACACACACACACAAACACACACAGTGTTTGCCTGAGGAATGCTTTTTTAACACACAAATCAGGAGACTCCCAGAAGCAGGAAGCGCCAAGGGAAGTGTGGGCATTTGTTGAAAACTGAGATTGTTTGCTTTGTAAACTTTAGTTTTAAATACGCATTTTTCTTCTTGACACACACACAGAATAAACACGCGTTCAGCTACTCAAAGTCTGAGCGTGGAAAATGTAAACAGAGTAAAACTTCGCGTTTTTACTTATTAATAAGAGTTTTGTATAATACATAATCTAAGACGTGAAGTTGTAAATTACCGTCACTTTTACGCACACACAGTAGCGCGGATGCGTTGAGGTTGGTTGGTTGTTGGTAGGGGCTGGTTGCATTGTAAAGCGTGGGACAGATTGGGGGTAGTGGTTCATTAGCATATTATTACCCCGGCATGTGGCACTCCGTATAAAACTGGCGGCAGGCGGCCTCGCTCCAGATACAAACGCACAGTGTCGGCGGGAGAAGGACGTGAGGAGGGATGTTGGACCAGTGACGAACCCTGGTTTAATATCAGACGAAGAAGGAACTATACACGACGAGCATCTGTCCTACTTTTCTTCTCCGACATTTGAGGATTATATATCACGGAATTCAACAAGTCCGTTTTACTTCAGGACTTTCTGGACTCTTTTTTTTTTCTCCCGGGGAAGAACTGTTGCATTGTGCGCACTTGACATGAATGGGAACTGCGTTCACGCTCAGTCTGTACTGAATGCAAGTCTCCACCAATGAATCAGTCGGCGAAAAGAGAAGGCTTTTAATACAAGGGATCCCCTGACTGATCTGAGATCAGCCAAGTTGCTCAGAGACTTTCACAAAATCCTATTTATTTATTTATTCATCATGGGACGCCACTTACTGTTGCTCCTCTTCTCCATCCTCTACATGCTGCTCTGCCAGGTAAGCACTCAAGTCAGATTAAAGTCCTTGTAGGTTATTGGCATTATTAGATCTAATATTCACACATTGGTTATTCTCCAGGCGTCCTCCTCAGGCGTCTTCGAGCTCAAGTTGCAGGAGTTTTTAAACAAGAAGGGCGTGCAAGGAAACAAGAACTGCTGTAAAGGTGGACTGACTACCTCTTACCAGCAGTGCGAGTGCAAGACTTTTTTCCGCATCTGCTTAAAGCATTATCAGCCCAATGCGTCTCCAGAGCCGCCCTGCACTTATGGAGGCACCGTCACCCCTGTGCTGGGCTCCAACTCTTTCCAAGTGCCAGATACCTTACCGGATGGCTCTTTCACCAATCCCATCAGGATGAATTTCGGTTTCACGTGGCCGGTGAGTAATGCTGATGCATTGACTTGGGGAAATTAATCCTAAAGCGATGTTTTGCACAATTCCTGATTGCTGTTTTTGCTATTTTAGGGAACTTTTTCTCTTATAATCGAAGCACTGCATGCTGACTCCAAAGAGGATCTGACAACAGGTATGTGATCTGATAGCAGAATGATGCATTAGTTCATATTATATAGATTATAGTCGACTGAATGCATGAATGTTCTGTACAGAAAACCCAGAGCGCATCATCAGTACCATGACCACACAGAGGCACTTGACTGTGGGTGAGGATTGGTCTCAGGACCTGCACAGTGTGGGACGAACCGAGCTCAAGTACTCCTACCGTTTTGTGTGCGACGAACACTACTATGGTGAAGGATGCTCAGTGTTCTGCCGGCCCAGAGACGATGCATTCGGTCACTTCACCTGTGGAGAACGTGGAGAAATCATCTGCGATGCTGGGTGGAAAGGCCAATACTGCACAGAACGTGAGTACTTATATTTAATATAACAATCATTGCATATTAAAGGGATAGTTCACCCAAAAATCTATATTCTGGCATCATTTACTCATTTACACTAAAGAAAATATTCTGTTATAAGCATTGACTTCTATAGTATTTGCTTTTATCTACTAAGGATGTCAAAGGTTTTCAGCATTCTTCAAAATATCTTCTTTCATGTTTAATGGAGGACTTAATTATAACCAAATAACACTGAGTAAATAGTGGAAGAATTTGAATTATTGGGTGTGCTATCCCCTAAATACCATCATCATTACATTATCAGTATTTCACTTGTTGGATCGACTCATTTAGACTTATTTGGAAAAGCGAGGGAGAGAAAAAACAAACAAACAAACAAAAAAACAAAGTTAACGGTTACGAACAACTTGTAACTAATACCCCCGCCCCCCACACTCCCACTCCCCCCCTCCAGCCCACTCTCACAACACACCACTTGATTTATTCCAGTCGGGAGGAGGAAAGTTTTTAGGAATAATCTCACGCGTGCCATAAATTTACATGCTGCCGTCCGATTGGCCGCTCCTGGAGTGGGCCGGCTGCTGATTGGCTGGCGGAGGGGAGGTATTGTTTGAAGTGGGCAGCTGCCGGGAGTGCGCAGACAATGGAGCAGCTGTCGCCCGCTGGCCGCGCATACACCAGCTGTCCACTCTTATCTTCCCTACCCGGAGACATTGAGAGCACAGGGGAGGAGAGAGAGGGAGAGAAAAAAAGTTTTGACCCGCAGTGAAGAGAGGGAGAGGAAAGAAGGGTCCCCTTGTTTGTGAGCGCCCTATTGTTGTCATGTGTTAAGCAGAAATTCTCCAGTGGTGATTAGGAGCGTTTTCCAGAAAGAGGGAGAGCGCTAATAGGTTTAAGTGACCCCCATGTCCTTCTTCACGTGTTAGTTAGGATTTACGTAAAAATGTGTACCCTAATGCAGGTGTTTTTACATTTACACCATCTAAAGTGACGTACAAGTGAGGATAAAAGATTTTCCTTCGGCTTAGTCTGAATTTTAAAGGTCGCCATAGCGGAATGAACCACCAACTATTCTAGCATATGTTTTTACACAGCAGATGCCATTCCAGCTGCAACCCAGTATTGGGAAACACCCATATATACTCATTCAAACACACACTTATACACTACGGCAAATTTAACTTATCCAATTCAACCTCTAGCGCACGTGTCTGGACTAAAGGGTGACTGGAGGAAACCCACGCAACATGGGGAGGACATGCAAACTCCACACAGAAATGCCAACTGGTCCAGCCGGGACTCAAACCAGCAACCATCTTGCTGTGAGGCGACAGTGCTAAACACTGAGGCACCGTGCCATCCGCAAGGATCCCAGCAAGCATTTTGTTTTTTAAAGATGACTAATAGATTACTAATAGATGAATAATAGATGACTAATTGATGACTAATAGATGACTAAAAGATAACTAATAGATGAATAATAGATGACTAATAGATGAATAATAGATGACTAAAAGATAACTAATAGATGAATAATAGATGTCTAATAGATGACTAATTGATGACTAATAGATGACTAATAGATGTCTAATAGATGTCTAATAGATGACTAATAGATAACTAATAGATGTCTAATAGATGTCTAATAGATGACTAATAGATGTCTAATAGATAACTAATAGATGACTAATAGATGACTAATAGATGTCTAATAGATGTCTAATAGATGACTAATAGATAACTAATAGATGTCTAATAGATGTCTAATAGATGACTAATAGATGTCTAATAGATAACTAATAGATGACTAATAGATAACTAATAGATGACTAAAAGATAACTAATAGATGAATTATAGATGTCTAATAGATGACTAATTGATGACTAATAGATGACTAATAAATGTCTAATAGATGTCTAATAGATGACTAATAGATGTCTAATAGATGACTAATAGATGTCTAATAGATAACTAATAGATGACTAATAGATAACTAATAGATGACTAATAGATGACTAATAGATAACTAATAGATGTCTAATAGATGTCTAATAGATGACTAATAGATGTCTAATAGATAACTAATAGATGACTAAAAGATAACTAATAGATGAATTATAGATGTCTAATAAATGAATAATAGATGACTAATAGATAACTAATAGATGTCTAATAAATGAATAATAGATGACTAATAGATAACTAATAGATGAATTATAGATGTCTAATAAATGAATAATAGATGACTAATAGATAACTAATAGATGAATAATAGATGTCTAATAGACGACTAATAGACGTCTAATAGATGAATAATAGATGTCTAATAGATGTCTAATAGAATACTAATAGATGTCTAATAGATAACTAATAGATGACTAATAGATGTCTAATAGATGACTAATAGATAACTAATAGATGTCTAATAGATGACTAATAGATGTCTAATAGAAGACTAATAGATGTCTAATAGACGTCTAAACAGTTGACTTGGCTAAAATAAGGCTAAATTTGGGAAAATCTAATAGACATTTAAAAACAGGCCAAAACTAGACTAGTCATCAAATAAACAGAAACAAATGACTACACATGTAAAGTCTGTCTAATCTGTTTATTTGACGACTAGTCTAGTTTTGGCCTATTTTTAGATGTCTATTAGATTTTCACTTAGCCTTGTTTTAGCCAAGCGGTCTAAGTTTAGATGTCCATTAGGTGTCTATTAAATACGAAATTGTTTGCTGGGATGAATCTTAGTTGCTTAAACTACAAGTCTGATATCTACAAGTCGAAACTTAAGGCTGTGGAGAGAGTGTGGTATAAATTGACCAATAAAAAATTTAACTAATACTAAAACATCCTTCTATCATAATAAAATGAACTCTCACCTGCTCTTCAAAGCATTCTCCAACATCTGCTGTCCTCTTCAAATCTGTCAGCTAATGATTTCGCAACATATTCCTCCTATAAAATGATAACCATCTTGTAAATACAGCTAAAGCGCCCTCTTTAGCACTAGCTCAAGTGGTCAACACAATCCAAACACGCTTATACCAAGTGAGGTTTATTTATAAACTAATTTCGAGAGGATGCTTGAGATTGCTTGCGGCTGGTCATGCATTATCCAATTTATGATTCAACCAATCAGACGATTCCAAAGCCACTATAAATACTCTAAGTTCCATATCACAGCCATCTTCATTTTGAAGAACCCCCCCTTCCACCCCTACTCCTGCTCCTTTCCTAGATGGGTGACATGTTGGCCCAGTGGTTAGCACTGTCGCCTCACAGCAAGAACATCACTGGTTCTAATTCTTATTAAGCCAGCTGACATTTCTGTGCAGAGTTTACACGTTCTCCCCATGCTCACATAGGTTTCCCCCGGGTTCCCCGGTTTCCTCTCACCGTCCAAAAACATGCAACTTGAATTGACTAATCTAAATCACCATCATAGACATGCTCCTAGTAAGTAGTTATCTCTTAAGAGCAATTACTATCTGTAAATTTACTAATACTATTTATAATAATAGTTCTCGAGATCTACCTAAGCTTAAACTCCCCTCTCGCCTTGCAAACGGGAGGGAGCCCCAGGCTCGAGGATCTTATGAGCTCAGGGCTCTCTTCCAGGACAGCATGCCAAACAAGCTTTATAATCAATCATCAGCTAAGTGTGAACTCTTGAAACACATAGATCACAACAAACACAAGTGAAACACTTACACACAGCGGTCCACTTCTTTTGTTTTAATGCTTCTCCTGTTTGTCGTCATTTACAGCTATCTGCCTGCCAGGGTGCGACGAGGAGCATGGATTCTGTGAGAAACCTGGCGAGTGCAAGTAGGTTGATCACAATTGTTAAGCTGTTGAAGTCATGTTCAGGATTGATTTACTTATGAGGTGATTTGTTTACCTGTGCATCAGGTGCAGAGTGGGCTTTAAAGGGCGCTACTGTGATGAGTGTATACGCTACCCAGGATGCCTTCACGGTACCTGCCAACAGCCATGGCAATGCAACTGCCAGGAAGGCTGGGGTGGGCTCTTCTGCAACCAAGGTAAGAAAGTGATCAGAAACACAGGGAAGATTAAGGGAAAGCTGTTTAAAGGGATAGTTCACCCCAGTTTATTCACAATTTACTCTCACTAAAGTTGTTCCAAACCTTTATTCTGTCCAAAACAAGAGAAGATCTTCTTAAGAAAGCTTAAAACTTGTAATTACTGACTCCCATAGTAGGAAAAACTAATAATATGGATGTCATTGGTTACAGGTTTTCAACATTTTTCTAAATATCTTCTCTTGAATTCAACAGAAGAAAGAATCAATCAGGTTTGTGTGACTAAATGATGACTAAGTTATGGGTGAACTGTCCCTTTAAATGGTTGTTTTTCCTACTGTGGAAGTCAATGGGTACCAGGAGACAGGCTTAAAACCACATGATAGGACAGTAAACGACAAGCTCATTTTCATTTTTGGGTGAACTATCCCTTTAAAAGCCTAAGCAACAGAAGGATGTTCAAATACACACATACAACAAAGAAAGAGCGAGCAACAGCTGTCCAGCTGCAGCCCAGCCATGTGTCTCTGCTTTCTGTCGGATTAATCCACATGTGCTCAACATATGTCCGCCTCTGTTACAGATCTGAACTACTGCACACATCATAAGCCCTGTCTGAATGGAGCCACTTGTAGTAACACGGGCCAGGGCAGCTACACCTGTTCCTGTCGGCCAGGATTCTCAGGAGCCAGCTGTGAGATCGAGGTCAACGAATGCACTGGAAACCCCTGCCGCAACGGAGGAAGCTGCACTGTAAGTGTAAATGTTTACAATGACGTACAAGACAGTTAGCAGATAACACACTGTATGCATTTAAACACTATTCACGTATACACTCAGCCGTGTAGTCAATGAGTTTAGTGTCAAATGGAACACTAATGAGTGTCCTAGTCAATGTTTAAAGTACAAATTAAATTAAAACTAACCGTAGGATTTTGTTAGCTAGCTTGCTAGTTTTGTGGTGAACAATTCATCAGTGCGAGTCATTAAGATAAAAATAATAGTTTGCTGTTGTAATTCTTTTTTTTCAATTCCTTTTTATTATATTTTAAGTAACATGTACATGCACATTTCCATGTGTCAGATCCAACACAAACAAACAAACAAATGAACAAACAAAACAAAACAAAAGGCTTCTCAGTATTTTACATCAGAATACAATATCACCTCTATTACTTGCTCTTGTACTTAATTGAAATCTGAAAGTGCGCTTCCCGTTTTCAGCGAAATTCTCAGATTAGGTCTGTGTAAGGTAGTGGGCGTGGCAAACACATCTAACCACACCCCTCCTGCTGTCAGTTTTGACAACAAACAGAAATGGTGAGCAGGAGGAGTCTGTTATGGTGTAATAACTTCTCAAACCCTTTTCCCCATCTTTCCGAATGTAATGCCTACTTTACTACAACCAATCAGCTCGCAGCAGAAAAAACAAGCCACTCCCACTGTTTTCTTATTTAATATTTAGTTTCTCTAGGAGCTGTGTTACAATACGAAAAATCCAAAAACTAGTGAAATCACTTATACAGGATCATTTTGCTTACACAATCTAAAGTAAATGAAGTAATCCAACCTCAGCACCTCATAGCTAGGGCCAGACGGAATCTGCAAACATTTTTTGCTATTTCTGCGGAGAATTTTGTTAAAAATATGCAGATTTCTGCGGAATTATTTTGGGAGTATCATAACTAAAACCTTAATATATGAAATAAAAAGTAATAATTTACACAGATTTACACATTTACTTAAGTAAATAAACAGAATTAATGATGTTCTAAAAATCGGCAGAAATCTGCAGAATTCTGTGAAAAATCTGCGGAAAATCTGCGGAATTCTGCACGCACAGATTCCGTGTGGGCCTCCTCATAGCTTCGCAACACATGCAAACAGCCACCAATGAGTGCATGAAGTGTTCAACACTGCAGCTTCTTTTTGATTGGTTGAATAAGTGCATCATCCGGGCAAAGTCAAAAGTGCACTTACTCTTATTTAAATTTCCGATGTCAATACACGACTATTTATACTATAAAATGCAGTAAGTAGTGCATAAGTATTGCATAGTAACATAGTAATGGATAACTAATAACCTTAACTTCATTAATTAGACTGTAATGCAGCCAGGGAGTAGATTGGCTCTTGACATTGGTGGGGACATACATCCCTAGAGCGCATGCATTGCATATGTTTTTGCGCTTTTAAAAACTTAAATAAAGTACTTAATAATATAAAAATAAACACTTAATAATACAAATAACAATTAATGAATCACGTTCCATGCTGCAAAAGTAAATTTACATGATTTTACTGCAATCTGGCTTTGAGAAGGTATGAATGTAGAGAAATTTAGAGAGGTGTAAGACGCAATTTAACTGTTTTAACCCCAATTATTGTTTTTCATAATCATGGAGGCCAAAATCGAAACTGAATTTTGATTAATTGCACAGCCTTGGTTAATAGTATTATAGGGAACGCAGAGCAATCTTGACTTTAACCCTTTGTGCACAGGTTACTAAGGGTTGAGCATTATTTTATTTTGAAGTCGATTAAATTCTGGTAGGGACACTTCAACATTGGTGGATATTGGTGGGGACACGTCCCCTACGTCCATGCCAATTCTATGCCCTTGTAATGCAGTAATGTTCACCTTTTGTAAAACTGCTTTGAAACTATACTTATTATGACAAGCACTACACAAATGAACTTGAATTGAATTGAAGTATGCCATTTGGGACGCACCTTCAGTGTCAATCTGTTTCTAAGCACGCTATTCCTTATGCTTTCCCAGGACATGGAGAACACCTACAGCTGTACCTGTCCACCTGGCTTCTATGGGAAGAATTGTGAACTTAGTGCCATGACATGCGCGGATGGGCCATGCTTTAATGGTGGACGCTGTGCTGACAACCCAGATGGTGGTTACTTCTGCCAGTGTCCCACTGGATATGCTGGGTTCAACTGTGAAAAGAAGATCGACCACTGCTCTTCCAGCCCATGCTCAAACGGTATGCACTTTTAGCCGTGAGAACTTCACCTTCTGATCCGTGCTTATTCAATGTGATATGATTTCAACTAAAACATGAAGACAGGGCGGGACATAGAGTAGCTCCTCCTCTTTAAAATAACAGCCAATAGCAATAGCACACTGATACTAACATCAAAACAAGTGACTTTAATTGAATCTCTGTGATCTAGAACCTCATGCATGTGCAATGTTTGATCCACAGGTGCACGCTGTGTCGACTTGGTCAACTCTTACCTGTGCCAGTGTCCGGACGGGTTTACAGGCATGAACTGTGATCGCGCCGGAGATGAGTGTTCGATGTACCCTTGCCAAAACGGCGGGACCTGCCAGGAAGGCGCCAGCGGTTATATGTGCACATGCCCGCCTGGTTACACCGGACGCAACTGCAGCTCTCCTGTGAGCCGCTGCCAACACAACCCATGCCACAATGGCGCCACTTGCCACGAAAGGAACAATCGTTACGTGTGCGCCTGCGTTTCGGGATATGGAGGACGCAATTGTCAATTTTTGCTTCCGGACAGAGCTTCCCAAATTGGCAGCGACGTTCCCTGGACTGCTGTGGGATCGGGAGTGTTGCTGGTGTTATTGTTGGTCGTGGCGTGTGCAGTAGTCGTAGTTTGTGTTCGTTCAAAGGTTCAGCAGCGACGACGGGATAGAGAGGATGAAGTCGCCAATGGAGAAAACGAAACCATTAATAATCTCACAAACAACTGCCACCGGGATAAAGATCTGGCTGTTAGTGTTGTGGGAGTGGCGCCGGTTAAGAATATCAACAAGAAGATCGACTTCAGCAGCGATCACGACGATTTGAGTATGACGACGGAGAAGCGGAGCTATAAGACGCGGCATGCGCCTGCAGACTACAACCTGGTGCATGAGGTTAAATTCGAAGTCAAGCACGAGGTGAAACTGGAGCATGCTGGGAAGGAGACGACGATGGCAAACGAGCTGTCCGATAGCTGCGAGGATATAAAGTGCCAATCCCAGCAGGACTCTTCCGAGTGTACAGAGGAGAAGCGCAGGAAACGTCTGAAAAGGTAAACAAACAAAAAAATGTTTAAGAATAATGATATCTTCGATCATTTCAGAATAGCAATTTCTTCAATTACCTGAGAAAAGCGGTTTCTTCAATTATTTACAAAAAGCAATTTCTTCAATTACTTGAGAATAGTGATTTCTTAATTTTTTTTACGAACATCGATTTCTTAAATTATTTAAGAATAGCAATTTCTTCAATTACTGGAGAATAGCGATTTCTTCAATTATTTACGAATAGCGATTTTTTCAATTATTTACGAATAGTGATTACTTAAATTATTTAAGAATAGCGATTTCCTCAATTATTTACGAATAGCGATTTCTTCAATTATTTATGAATAGCGATTTCTTCAATTATTTCAGAATAGCGATTTCTTCAATTATTTGAGAATAGCGATTTCTTCAATTATTTGAGAATAGCGATTTCTTCAATTACTTGTAAATAACAATTTTTTCAATCAAATATTTTTATTTATTTATTTACGAATAGCGATTTCTTTAATTATCTGAGACAAATAATTTCTTAAAAATTTTTTACGAATAGCGACTTCTTCAATTATTTACAAGTAGCGGTTTCTTCAATTATCTGAGACAAAAAATTTCTTCAGTTATTTACGAATAGAGATTTCTTTAATAATTCACAAATAGCGAGATCTTCAATTTTTTGAGAGTAGCAATTTCTTTAATTATCTAAGACAAATTATTTCTTCAATTATTTACGAATAGCGTTTTCTTTAATTATTTGGAGAATAGCGATTTCTTGAATTATTTACGAATAGCAATTTATTATATTATTTGAGAATATTTTTTTTAAATATTTGAGAATACCGATTTCTTCAATTGCTTGAAAATATTGATTTCTTCAAATATGTATGAATATCGATTTCTTCAGTTATCTGGGACAAACGATTTCTTGAATTATTTACGAATAGCAATTTTTAATTATTTGAAAATAACGATTTCTTAATTATTTACGAATAGTGATTTCTTCAGTTATATGAGACAATCGAGTTCTTTAATTACTTTAGAATAACGATTTCTTCGATCAATTATTTTAATTAATTATTTCTTCAATTATTTCCTCTGAAATGTACTCACTGCTAATATGTTGATTTTTTCTTTTCTTTACAGTGACGCATCAGAAAAGTCAAAATATTCAGAGTCAAGGTATTCCGAATCAAAGTACTCAGAATCAAAGTATTCGGAATCAAAGTACTCCGATGTATCGCTGTATTCCGAGTCAGCATGTGCGTCGGCATGTGCATCGGCATCCACGTCGGCTTGTGTCGACACCAAATACAAATCCGTCATGGTGATGTCGGAGGAAAAAGATGAATGTGTAATTGCAACTGAGGTGAGTAGTAGTCACACACGTCAGCTCAAAATGCTCATATACAGTGCCCAACATAAACGAGAGTACTTTTTATAAATTTTTCAATGAATATAGACAATACATTTTGGTGTATTTAAGCAAAACAGTTATAATCAGCAATTATATTTGTTAAAATAATAATTTTGACACAGTATATCATTAGGTATAGAAAAAATATTCATATAAATTTAAATTAGGTATTGCAAAAAAGAAATACAACTACAAATTTTTAACTATATTTAATATTTTGTATGTTTCTTTTGATTTTTCCTCTTTATTAAGATTTGTATTGATATTTTTAATACATATTAATGCAGTTGCACTATTTTTAGAGCTACTTTATTAAATTAGTTTTGACTTTGATAGTGACTATTGAGTTTAATGCATTAAATATGTACTGCTTTTTAGTCAGAAAGATGCATAAAGAATCAGTAAGACATCAATTGTTTTGCTGGGAAAAAAATTGTTGACATTTTTTTCCTCTCTGAATCAAAAATATTAATATTATAAAACAAATTACAAGAAAATATACATTTAAAAGAGATCTGTGAGGGGTGTACTCATTTATGCTGCCCACTGTATATATAAAAATGCGTCCTTACATTGAATCTGAGAACTAACAGAGTGTTTTTCCTCTTCCCGATCACAGGTGTAATGGGCCTGCAGGATGCCGATGCTCATTGTGTCCTATGGGAGACATTTTGAACTCCCGGAGAAAATGCTGCTGCTCGAAACCTTAGGTGGAAACGTCCCACCTCGTGACTACTGCTGCTGAGAAACTAAGACTGATTAACTGATATTCAGGATGAGCTGGTTCTCTGTACTGAAAGAGGCGCAGGCAGTGGTGGCCTGTAGGCTTGGAAACTTGTGGAAATGATCATGAGTGTCATTAACATTTCAAATGTAGTTGTAAAATTTACCTGTAAAGCCATTTTTAAAGGGTGTTGGACAGTGTGTGTCCATTAAAAAAAAAAAAAAAAAACATTCTCATCACACGACAATGGCATTTGGCAATGGCAAACGAAAGAGAAGGGAACACAAGGAACCTAAAAGTTTTACGCCATGCGATGTCCAATACTGTGTCAGCATTGTGGCAATGTTTTAGCAATATTTTGGCAACATTTGCTGTTTTTTTCCGCCAATAATAATTCCCACAGGCTTTTAACTGTGCCCAGAGACTGCACCAAACATGAATGATGTTATGGACGTAGTTAAAAAAAATAAATAAATAAAAATGTGTCGCAATTTGCCGTCGACGGACCAATTTGTGATATCATTTTAGCAATATTTTGGCAACATTTGCTGGCCCCACAAGTCAGTGTACAAGGGACTACATCAAAACGGTGGATATTCAGCCATACTGGCCTAACTTGCACTGGGTTAAAATGTCACATGATGTCATATCCTGTCACATGACCAGTGAAAACTATGTGTGTTACTTGATCACTGTGTAAATGGGAAAATAAGTGCTCAAAAAAAAAAAGAAAAAGAAAAAAATCTCAAAGTCTTCCAAGCCTCCGCTTTTTTTGCATTATGGTTTAGAAAATGTACGTAATGATTTGTTGAGTTTGTGTTGATGCTGAATAATATCCTTTGTCTCTATGTTTCTTGTTTTGCTTTTTATAACAAGAGTTGTATGATTTAAGTTAATTTATTTTTATTTAAGTTGTATTTCTAAATATTTGTAATGTTTTTAAGATTATTTAAGTTTTTTTTGTTCCTAAGTTGCTCCTGTTACTTGCAAAGGCACTTCGGGTTGCTGGGATTGTTTTGAGAAAATGTTATTTAAAGAAGGATTGTAAAAAAAATGTTATTAATGATGTCATTAACAGGCTTTTCGTTTGATTGTTTTCTTTCTCTGAATGAAGTTTAGCTTAAATTATTTTTCCAAATAAAGATTATGAACTATTGAAAACACGTTGTCGTTGTTTCATCAACCCTGCACTAGGCACTACTATTATTCGAAAATAACGAACAAACAAAACGTAGAATATTCAAATTCCAATATTACACATTCAAATATAACAAACAATTTTTACATTTCAAAACTTTGAATATGTAAATTCCAATAATATATTCAAATATAATTGTCAAATTTCGAATGTTGGAATATTAAAATTCCAATACTATACATTCGAATATAACGGACAATTTTCAAATTTCAAAAACAAAACTTAGAATAATCAAATTCCAATACTATACATTCAAATATAAGAGACAATTTTCAAAAACAAAACTTAGAATATTCAAATTCCAATAGTATACATTCAAATATAACGGACAATTTACAAACTTTGAATTTAAAAAACAAAACTTCGAACATTCAAGTTCCAATACTATACATTTAAATATAACAGACAATTTTCAAGTTTCGAATTTCATAACAAAGCTTAAAATAATCAAATTCCAATACTATATATTCAAATATAACAGGCAATTCTCAAATTTCAAAAACAAAACTTAGAGTATTCAAATTTCAATACTACAAATTCAAATATAACGGAAAACTTTTAAATTTTGAATTTCAAAATCAAAACTTCACGCTTTCAAACTCCAATACTATGCATTCAAATATAACGTGCAATTTTCAAATTTCGAATTTCAAAACAAAGCTTAAAATATTCAAATTCTAATTTATAAAAAAATAACAGACAATTTTCAAAATTTCAAAAACAAAGCAAAGAATATTCAAATTCCAATACTATATATTAAAAAATAACAGACAATTTTACAATTTTTAAAAAACAAATCTTAAAATATTCAAATTTAGATACGAACACAGTTACATCATTACGATAAACTCACCCAAACTCTTAAAAACAAACTACGAAACCTACTAGACGTAACTAAATTGGTGCCTCTTTTTCTTTAAAGCCTCTTTTGTGGCGATTCCCATTTTCTTTTCTGGCTGCTGGATTTATGACTTCTATGTAAGGGTTTAGAAAATGGGGAATAGATTGGGATGCTGGTTCTTTATAGGGATGAGAACGCAGCTAATCATTAACATCTGCTCTGGCCTCTTGCTCACCCCATACTGGGCTATTCATGGCTTTACCCCTCATTCTGTGCCTGCCGCGGGTGCATCGCTCAAGAGAAGAAACGCCTTTGAGAAACGCCGTCAGGATGTTTACAACTTTTCCAACCAGACTAGAGGGGGAAATTTAAGGCTTTGGGGGTGAAAAAACCCCCAAAACAAAACGTGAAATAGTTGGCAGATTTCCAAATAGACTAAACTATTTGGCAGGTGTTTTTGGCGGGAAAGTCGTCCATGATTAGAGACATCATCAAAACAACAGCAAATTTTTTTCGAATTTCAGTGCTTTTCTTGTCTGATAAAAGTTTCATTCAGGAAACACAATTTGCAAGGGATTTCGTATCCTAACATTAATGTGCTCCAGAGAACAAAACGTCTTTTGTTGAGCTTTTATGGCTAAACATTAAGCTGGAGGAGAAGTTCAGAGGAGTTCTGGCTGAGGTCTCTTACAACACTCATCAATGGAGCTCTGGGGAACAGGCAGAGTCACACAATGTAGTGGCGGACAATAGCCAATACAAAAGGGCACCATTTGGGAGAGGCAGTGTGTGCCTATGAATGGAGGAAAGGGAGGGGGCAAAGAACGACAGATGTTGTCTGTCCTCCTGAGTCAAAGCGTCCTGCGGGCAGAAAACACCAGCTAGACCCCACATGGCCATGGATGAGACGCACAATGGACACCCTTCAGCTCTTTCACATCTGAACGTAACTTTAAACTACTTCGTTTTGAACTTTCAATCAAAATACTTTTCCTGAAATCAACAACAAAGTACTTTAGTTTGACGAGTTTTGCACTTTTAATACCAAGACTAGAGCCTTCACATTATTAGTTTTAAATTTAACATGGTTCATTTTTTAACCCCTTTACTCTCGACGGTCCCATTTTTTGAACATAAATGCGAAAATAACTTGTTCAGCTTAAATTATTCAACGCTGATGCAGAGATTTAAGCTTGGTCTCATTTTAAAGAAGACACTTGTCAGACTCTAGCTTAAATAAATTTTAAAATGTAAATTTTTTTTTAATAATTTTAAAAAACTTTAATACTTTTAATAAATATATTTTAAAGTAAAACAAGTATTTTGCTAAACCCATTTTAGCCTATAATCGACAGAAATTAAAGCTAAATATCTAAACAACTTATATTGCAAATATGAAGTTGATATCTCAAAAATCTTGGCTGCAGTACCAAAGATGACCACCAGGTGTCATTTAATTTCCACTGCTGACCATATAAGGCCGTTATATAAAGGGTAATCTTCCTGTAATTGATTTACAGTAAGTTAGTTAAAGTAAAGTAAGTTAAAGTGATTTACAGTAAGTTACTGGAGAACTGAACAGTAATATGAACTGTATTTTACTGTAAAACAGCTATGCAGTGTTACTGTATTTTAAGGATGCACTGTAAAAATGACAGAATATTTTACTGTAAATATATACAATACTGTAAATACATATACAGCAAGATAAATGATGCTGTAAATGCCAATACAATATTTTTGCTGTAATTGCTTTACAGTAAGTTACTGGTGAACTGAACTGTAATAAGAAAAGTATTTTCACTGTAGGACAGCTATGCAGTATGGTACTGTATTTTAGAGATGCATTGTGAAAATGACTGTATATTTTACATAAATATATACAATACTGTCAATACATATACAGCAAGGTAAATTATGCTGTAAATGTAAATATAGTATTCTTGCTGTAATTGATTTACAGTAAGTTACCGGTGAACTGAACTGTAATATAAACAGAGTTTTACTGTAGAAGAGCTATCCAGCGTGTTACTGTATTTAAAGCTTAATTGTGAAAATTACTGTATTTTTACAGTACATGTATACTGTACTGTAAATACACACATAGCAAGGTAAATGGTACTGTAAATAGAAATACTGTATTTTTGCTGTAATTGATTTACAGTAAGTTACTGGCAAACTGAACTATAATATGAACTGTATTTTACTGTAGGACATCAATGCAGTGCGTTACTTTATTTTAAAACTGCATTGCGAATATTACTGTAAAATTTACAGAAACAATAAACAATTCCGTAAAAACATATAAACCAGTACACACATATCAAGGAAAAAGGTGCTTTTAATGTGAATATGGCATTTTTACTTTTATTGATTTACAGTAAGTTACTAATCACTTTTACTGTAGGACAATTTTGCAGTGTGTTACTGTATTTTAAAGTTGATTTGTGAAAATTACTGCATATTTTACAGTAAAAATATACAATCCTGTAAATAGATATATACTGTACAGTAAGGTAAATCGTGCTGTAAATGTGAATACAGTATTTTTGCTGTGATTGATTCAGTTACGCGTGAACTGAACTGTAATATCAGCTGAATTTTACTGTAGGACAGCTATGCAGCGTGTTACTGTATTTTAAAGCTGCATTGTAAAAAATTACTGTATTTATAAAGTATATATATATATATATATATATATATATATATATATATATATATATATATATATATACTGTATATAAATTTGTATTTGTGTTGTAATTGATTTACAGTGAGTTACTAGCAAACTGAACTGTATTTTACTGTAGGACAGCTATACAGTGTGTCACTGTATTTAAAAACTGCATTGCGAATATTTCTGTATATCTTACAGTAACAATATACATTACCGTAAATAGATATACTGAAAGATAAATGGTGCTATAAATGCAAGTACAATATTTTTGCTGTAACTGATTTATAGTAAGTTACCGGCGAACTGAACTGTAATATGAACTGAGTTGAACTGTAGGAATGTAGCAGTATTTTAAAGCTGCATTGTAAAAATTACTAGATTTTTATAAATTTTACATTTATACAGTGCAAATATACAGCACTGTAAATACATTACAGCAAGATTAATTGTGCTGTAAATATAAATACTGTATTTTTGCAGTAAGTTATTGTTGAACTAAACTGTAATATGACCTGAATGTTACTGTAGGACAGTTATTCAGTGTGTTTTTATATTTTAAAGTTGCATTGTCAAAATTACTGTATTTTTACATTACAAATATACAGTACTGTAAATAAACATTTAGCAAGGTAGATGGTGCTGTATTTTTGCTGTAATTGATTTATAGTAAGTGAATGGCGAACTGAACTGTAATATGAACAGTATTTTACTTTAGGACAGCTATGCAGTGTGTTACTGTATTTTAAAACTACATTGTGAAAATGACTGTATATATTACAGTAAAGATATACAATACTGTAAATACATATAAAGCAAGATAAACAGTGATGTAAATGTCAATACAGTACTCTTGCTGTAACTGATTTACAGTAAGTTACTGGTGAACTGAACTGTAATATGAACTGAATTTTACTGTAGGACAGTTATACAGCATGTTACTGTAATTTTAAACCTGCATTGCTAAAATTACTGTATATGTACAGTAAAGATATAAAATAATGTAAATACATATACAGCAAGGTAAATGGTGCTTTAAATGTAAATATGGTATTTTTGCGGTAATTGATTTACAGTAGGTTACTGGTAAACTGAACTGTAACATGAACAGAAATTTACTGTAGGGCAGTTATACAGTATGTTACTGTATTTTAAAGCTGCATTATGAAAATTACTGTATTTCACAGTACATATGTATAATACTGTAAATACATACACTGCAAGGTAAATGGTGCTTTAAATGAAAATACAGTATTCTTGTTGTAATTGATTTACAGTAAGTTATTGGTGAACTGAACTGTAACATGCACAGAAATTTACTGCAGGGCAGCTATGCAGTGTGTTACTGCACTTTAAAGTTGCATTGTGAAAATTACAATATATTTTACAGTAAAGATATACAGTACTGTAAATACATATACAGCAAGATAAATGATGCTGTGAATGTAAATATGGTATTATTGCTGTAATTGATTTACAGTAAGTCACTGGCGAACTGCTGCTGTAGAAATAAAGTGTTAACATTTATTCCATTTAATTTAAAGTGACATTTTTAACCCAATGGTTGGGTTTGTCCATGTTTGACCCAACCTCAAGTTACAACAACCCAGCTTTTTTTTTAAATGCAAAGAAGACTCAAGTAAGCAGTCTTAGGATCTCTTTCATAGGAAGGCCTCTGCCAAACTCAGAGACGTAGCTTTACGCGAGCAACCCAAGATCAAACTGGCTAAGTGTTCTGCACTTCAATTAGCACCAGATCTTGAGCTGGCATCGGCGTGACTTCATGGAAAACAAAGAAGGGAATAAGAGGTTTGCTCTGTGATCCCTTTGCATTTTAATGAGCCGATCACGTAGAGTCCTCAGGGAACGGACACGGTAACACTATATTCAAGCACATCGTAGTTGCTAAAATACAACTCAAAACGCATAAGTCAAGTCCAACTTAGCATGGATGCTAGCCATTCATGTGCATTGTACTAGGCTATACCAGCTTGCTAGCAAACTGACTAGAGGATTGTACAGGAAGAGCGGGAAATAAATGAACGCCGATATGTGCTGAAGGAGAAGAACATGTGATCTGGGAACAGGAGAGCAAGGAACAGGACTCAGGTGCAACAGTCCAGGTGTGATGAAATAGTCATGAGGAGAGGCAGAGTCTAGCTTGAATTACAGCAGCCGGCGCTAAAGTAATGAAGGAAAGAGCAAGAGCAGGAACGCCACAGAGATGGACAGAAGACAGAGATACAAGACGCCGGCAAGGCCATTAGGAAAGTCTCGGGAGAAGGTTTGTGCTTTGTTTGATGACTTCCAGCTTGATTTATGCTTTGTTGTATTCTATACTGATTGTTTTTTTGCTTATACCAACATTGTGTCTTGCTAAGCACGCATGCAAATGTACGGTTTCTAACTTCCATCCGAAATAATTGACTACATAACACGGCTTGATTAGTTGCTTGAGCTCTGATGGCATAACATCCATCTAACCTTTAAGCCTGGAGGAACTTGTTTAACCCACAAGCTACATTAAAATATCCTGTTTCTGGTACAGATCCTGCTAAGATTGCACTTATCGCTGTATTTAGGAGTTAAAAGTCTCTACCTTCACCTCGGGGGTGTAAATTATTCAGGGGCGCTTGGATTCTGTCACAATCTGCCAATCAGGGAAATTAAGGCGACGTGTGCTGAACATAGTAGTATAGTCGATGAGATGCCAATTTGTCCGCCGGTATTTTGGCCGCTTGACATTCGGGAGCACGTGTGCGTCAGTCTGGAGGATGCGCTGTAGGTTTGGAGAGCAGATCTACAAGAAAACAAAACCAGATTATTATAATTATATATCTTTTAAGTGAATTTATAGCTTCACATGCAAATAAAAGTGATTTAGATGGAAAGACGAAGTTCACTAATGGCAAAAAGACAATCTGTGTGTGTCAGAACGTGTTTTTTTTTTTTTGCTACAAATTAAGATTATAGTGTAGCTGAAATTAAAAGTACTTTAAAAATTACTAATAAAAAAGCATATAAAATAAACAAGTAATTAAACTTGCGTCATACAGTGTGTGTGTAAATATATATATATATATATATATATATATATATATATATATATATATATATATATATAGCTTAAAAAAAGTTACCTTGCTAAAAAAAAGAGACTCAACTTAATTTTTATTGTTAAACACATAGTTCATTCTATCATTTATTCATTTTCTTTTTTTCAGCTTCGTCCCTTTATTAATTAGGGGTCGCCACAGCGGAATGAACTTATCCAGCATATGCTTTACACAGCGGATGCCCTTCCAAGACTTGAATCAGCCACTTTCTTGTGTCACGGTGGCGATCGTGATTCCCATTGAGCCACCGTGACACGCCTACACCTAGTTCATTTACTTTATAATTATAATAATGGTGATAATAATAACAGGTTTATTTATTTATTTAAGTAAATCAGATAGTCGCGTTTAAAATGTATGCAAAGACCATTTTGAGGGATGTAAACAGTAACAACAGTCCCAACGTAGTTTTTTTTTTCATTTTTCATTTTTATAGCTTCCCAGAATCCCAAAAGGTCCACATATTGATAAATAATGTTATGATAGCTGTTTTAATTTTACATTATGATTGAGTCACCTCAGTTATAAAACAGTTTGACGACAAGCAAGAAATGTTCACGGGCCAATGACATCCCTGCATTAAAAGGGTCTATACAGTATATACCTATATTCAGTTATTTAATACATTGTTTAATTTTCATGTAGTTTAACTTCAATTACAAAAAATGGCCTTAAAATAAAAATGATAAAACAAAAACATTTGACATAGTATGTTACAGAAGTTGTTCATCAAATAAAGCAACATTAATTTTGACTTATTAAAATATAAAAACATAAGGAAATATAGTAAATTGTATTATAGTTCATAAGAATAAAACCTAATGGTTTGTACAGTCTCATAAATAAAGAAATCGGAGCTGTCACTCCGGTGGTACCTTTTAAAAGGTACAAATTTGTACCTAAATGGTCCTTATTAATACCTCAAGGGTACATATCATTTAGTTGGTTAAAACGTTCCTTGATTAATGTAGTACGCTGATAATAGCTCACACACTGGCACACATCAGTTTCTTCAGATTAGTATCAATGTCCTGGAGCTGCAGTGGAGCCGAACACTATTGGAAATACGTCAATATGTTATTTGAGCGTGTCTAATTCAGAAAATGGACAAAGATAGACACTCATTAGAGAGTGTTGCGCCATCTGCTTTAATCGACTACTAATAAACCTCTTTGCAGTAGTAAACATGTCGACTGAATGAGAATTTATGTAATTGTTGACAAGTTGAGAACAATTTGGGCAAATAGGTAATTGTTTAGTTACAAAACAGGAGCATGATTTAAATATGATATTGATATCCAATATTAGTAACATATAATAACTAATAATATTGACCTTAACAGATTTTTTATCATTTAAAACTATTTTTTTTAATCCAGCCAAACTAAAAGACTTTTAGACCAGAGGAAAAAAAATTATATGAAATAATGTGGGAAAAATCTCCTTGCTCTATTAAACATCACTTAAGAATTTCACAAAAGGACTGATAATAAAGATGAATATCACTAGCCAAGAAACAGCTCTAGAGCAAAGTGTTTCCTCTGAAAGTGCTCCTGGAAATCAGACCTACGATCTAGAAACAATCCTTACTGAACCTGTACGTTTCTCTGTGTCAGATCTAAAGCATGACTCGACTGGAAGCGTCTCTCCAGCGCTCAGAAAGCCGCTCTGTTATAGAAATGCCGAGCAGACGAGAAAGCGCCAACGCTAGCAGACGAGGAAGCATTAGCATGAGCAGAAGAGAAAGTGTCAGCCAACAACACTCAGGTGAGGTTTACCATTCACACTAACCTGAGCATTTGTTAAATACAGCAGGGTCACTTTTCATACAGCGGGGGGAAAAAGTAGTGAACTTTGCAGAAAACAAATTTCTAAAAGGGCCGTTGACTTGAATTTTCCCCTAGATGTTGGTAACAACCAAAGAAATCCAAAAATGCAAAGAAAACAAATCTAATTAGCTTACAAAATAAGTTATGTATAATAAAATGAAATGACACAGGGAAAAGGTATGAAACACATGAAGAAAGGGAGGTGAAGAAAAGCAGAGAAAGCCCAGACAGCAGCTGAAATCTCTCAGTAGTTCTTCAGCAGCTCAGCCCTTCCTCAATGTAAATGAATATCAGCAGCTTCAGTCCAACATCTACATTAGCAGGAGGGTAAAGATGAAACCAGAGTGGACATTTCAGCAAGATAATGACACAAAACACAGCCAAGGAAACTCTCTAATGCTCTTAGAGAAAGAAAATCAAGCTGTAGAATGGCCCAGCCAATCACCTGAGCCGAATCCAATAGAAAATACAAATTAAAGATCCGATTTGATAGAAGAGACCCACAGAAGCATCCAGATTTTGTCACTGTGATGAAGTCTGTAAAAACTCTGAGCAACAGATGTGACTTTATTCTCCCTATGAAAGGCGTCTTTAAGCTGCCATCAACAAAAAAAGCCTTTCAAATGAAGTATTAAATACATTTCAGTAGTTCAGTACTTTCTACTTGTCTCATTTCATAGTTATTATACATAACTCAATTTAAAAAAAAATTATTTTTATGTTTGTATTATTTGGGTTTTTACCAAAACCTGGTTCAATTCCACGTCCACAGCTTCTTTAGAAATATTATTCCCAGGAGAAAACATGACATGTTCAATACTTATTTCGCCCACTGCTGGTATAGATGTTTGTTTGAATACATTTTTCCATTGATAACGGCGGGCTGCAATGTCAAGCAATTATAAATTTTATGCAATGACTGTATGCAAGATCTCAGATGTTGTTATAATAATGTGGAAACCGCTTTAAATATTCAATTCAATTCACCTTTATTTCTATAGCGCTTTTACGGTGTAGATTGTATCAAAGCAGCTTCACATGAAAGATTATAGTGATTTGAAACTATAAGTTCAGTTTAGCTCAGTTCAGTGTGGTTTTATATTCACTGCTGAGAGTCCAAACACTGAAGAGCAAATCCATCAATGCACAGCACACACTCCGAACACTAATTAAAATAGCTGAATTAAAAAATTCTTTGAAACATTTGTGAAAACGAAAGTACATAAGTCAGTAAAACATATTGTTATAATAATTGTTTAATATTTTAGTGTTTTTTTCACATGTTGTGCCTTTAAATAGACATTATTCTTGATGTCAATGGGCCCTAAGAATATAGCGTTTTGTTGCGTTTATGCAATAAACAATAAATACACAATATAGACTTAATACACTTTATCGAACATGTACACATAGATACACCACCTATATACTACATAACTGCAGGTTAACTAGACTGTAAAAAAAATCTGTAATTGTACGGTTTATTTCCAGTAGCTGTGGTGCTGGAAAAAAAGGAAAATAATGGCTGTTAAATTACCAAAATTTAACGTAAAATAACAGCCGTTAAATTACAGAAATTTAATGTCAAATAACGACCGTTAAATTACAGAAATTTAATGTAAAATAACGGCCATTAAATTACAGAAATTTAACAAAAAATATCAGCAGTTAAATTACAGAAATTTAACGTAAAATAATGGCAGTTAAATTACAGTTATTTTACATAAAATAACAGCGGTTAAATTACAGAAATTTTATGTAAAATAACAGCAGTTAAAATTACAGAAATTTAACGTAAAATAACGGCCGTTAAATTACAGAAATTTCCTAACATTTAAATCTCTGTAATTCAACCTCTGTTATTTTACAGTAAATTTCTGTAATTTAAGGGCCGTTATTTTACGGGTGTTTTTCGGCACCCCAGCTGCCGAAAATAAACCATAAATTTACAGATTTATTTACAGTTTATGTTTAGTGTTAAAAGTTATTACCAGCTAGTTAATTAGTTAAAGTTATTATCAACTAAGTTATGATAACTAATAACTTTAACTTTTCCGAATTTGATTGTATTGCAATAGTGCTGCTTTTAGAGAATGATTATTGCGAAAAGTCCTTTACAAATCAACTTGAATTTATTTGAATAATAATTTAAAATCAATTATACATTTATTTTGTGTGTGTCGATACTGTCTTCCTCAAAACAGAGACAAGAAGAGAAACAGAACAAAGCAACGGTCGTGGCATTTTTAAGCGAGCCAATCGCTTCCTCTCACAAGACCGTGAACAGGACGACGGCAGTTCTTCATCTCCAGTGCGCCATTATGAAAGAGGGCATGCACTTCCAGCCAACCACAGTCCTGAGCGCAAAGCCGCCATCCCCTTCCGAAATCCTGATCTGGGCCTCCCATCCTATAGGAGGCGCTATGACAATCTCAGTGAGCAGGCAATAAGTGGCCTCTCCCCCCAGCGACACATGAGTTATTCAAATTTCAGACGTGGAGACAGCCAATCACGTGCAAGCCCTCGCTCTGGCAGCCCGAGATCTACAAACATCTCTCCACAGAGGCGAGGGGAATCGCGAAGTTCGTCTTATCGGAGAGGCTCTTCTACACACGGTCATCGTATGTCCTCTCAGCAGGCTTCAGGTAAATGCACGCCATCACGAAGACGGGATTCGATAGCCACGCGCACCTCATCGCCTTCACGAAGCTCAGGTACAAATAAATATGCAGATTCCTATAGCCCCGCCCACAAAAGAAGCCCCTCCCAGAGCTCCTACGGGCACAGCTTGGATTCAGAAAAGCTGTATAAGAATCTCAAATCAATTGTGAGTTCGGCAGAATCAGACGGATATGATGAAAGAAATGGCTGGTCAAAAAGAATACAGTCTGATGACGGTGGTTATAACGAACGCAACCACAGCGGTCGCAGTAGTCGAAAAAGTGGTAGTCACAGATCTGGCTACAACAGCCGGGATTTCTCACCAACCGGAAGCAATTGTGACACAATTAAAAGTCGAAATACTGGTCGCAACAGCAGAAATAGTGGTGCCTCGACACCTCATCGAAATTACGATGAACGTGATACTGTGAAAAATAGTACGTCAAAAAATAAGAGTCGCAGGAATGAGGTTTACTCGGATATCTCGGACAAACAATCCAAATCTGATTCGCGTCAATCACTAAGTCCCACCCACTCTCCTCTAAGCCCCACCTCCCCAGCATCAACACCAAGCATTGCTCAATCAAGGCGGAGTCGAAATCAGGCACCGACGCCAGATTTGACCAAATCACAAACCTTAACTCCAGAGACGGACAAGCCAGCTATTGATCGGAGCAGAAGCAACATCAGGCGTGGCTTAGAGGCGCTAATCCTTTCAGAAAACCCCAGGTCTTCCAGCCAACCAGCAGTGCCAGAAATGACCATCGAGGACTATGTGATCATAGCAGATATTCCCAGATCAAAGCTGTACCCTGAAGAAGAGGAAGCAATAATAGTGAGGAGGAGGCCACAGAGCCGGAGCCCACGCAGAGACAATCAGCACAGGTCAGAGACTACAAACAAACAATTAGCCGAATGTTATGATAGCATTTTTCCACCGTTATGGTTCTGTGGCTGATGTGAGAGTGAATGCTTTGTATGACTTCTAGCATTTTCACTAGAAAAAAGTGAGGATGTACTATTTATGGATCCCTTTCTCAAATTTTTTCTCGTGATTTTGCCAAGTACGACGCAATCCTGAATTAACATCTATGTTGATTGTGGAACATCATTTTTGTTTGAAAATGTAATCCATACCTAGTCCCTACCCCTTAATCCAGGCATATATGTTTCTTTTAACCAGATAAAAACAAGAGATTAAGATCTCATTTACAAGGGTGACCTGGCCAAAAGGTCTGCAACACACAACTTAAGAAAACATAATAATAAACAAAAAGTTAAGATAATAAAAAATCCAGTTTAGTTGTTCAGCTATACCACATTACAATATTTTTTAAATCACATGCATTGAGAAATGGACTGTTGTTGTTCGTTATAAAGGATAGAGCGAAAAGACTTGATTGAGATGAGCGCAGACATTTAGTTCAGACAGAAGAGTATTCCAGGATGAGGGGGTGGCATGACTAAAGGCTCGCCTTCCTATTTCAGTTTGAACCCGGGCAACAGTCAAATGATAAGATTTACTTGAACATATGCATACTGCTTTTTGACTTATGAAGAAGGGAACTTGGGTATAAAGCCACCAGACACAGGAGAGCCTTGTAGACCAGAGTCATCTAGTGGGTGTACCGTCTTGTATAAGAGAAGGCCAGTCAGCTTTGGCATACAGTTCACAATGGTGAGGGCGTACTCACACTATGTACAGTTGCCTTGAAGCGGGACGAAGGACGCTTGCCCCCCCTCTCGTCTCCCCCGACAGCCCGCACTTACATCGCACCCTTACGTCATCAATGATGATGCTGTCTAGTAAGAAGCGCTCTCGCTCAGCACAGTGCAGACTGCTTTAGTTATATCGTTTTAGTCGTTTGGGATGCGGTGACACGCAGTCAAATATTTCGCCGAACAAATCAGCCACTTTTGATGCTCATAAACAATCATAAAGTCAGGAATTAGGAGGTTTGCTAAATGTGCGGCTGCCGTGCAGTCTTTAATAATCTACGACAGTTTGCGTTCATTAATCAGTAAGAATGATGAATAAATCCATATCAAACAGTCTCGTTAAAGTCACGTCTCCTCTTCAGTTTCGGGCTCAGGCGCACTTTGCCCAAGTGAATCACGCTCTGGCACACCTTTTTCAACCGGGCCAGGGTCAGCAAAGTGAACCATGCCTGAGCCCGATTCAGAGCACTCACACTTCTCATACAATCCAGGAAATGGGCCTGGGCACGGTCGGGATAGCATAGTGTGAGTACGCGTGAGTCTCTGACAGCCTGTAACAAACCTCAGAGCGCTGTGATAAACAAAGTTTAAAGACTTAAGTCATTTGGAAGCATTCATATATATATATATATATATATATATATATATATATATATATAACATCACCATAATCAATCAATGGTAAACATTTTGCAAAACACCAAATGTTTACGAGCTTTAAGAGAAAAGCAGGATGCAACTGTGAGTTATTTCCAAAATCAGAGGGGAATAATAGTTGGATAACACTCATGTAGAAGTGTGTAAACCTAACCATAAGCCAAAACATAACATAAACGGTAAACATATCCCTTAATTCTGATTGTAATGTTGTTCCAGGATCGACATAGATGTTAATCCAGCAACATGTCCTACTTTGGTGAAATCAGCTTGGCGAAAGGTGTAATAGAAACTGCTAACCTTAGCCTAATAGCACTGAAAGCCTACATCCTACCCTGCAAATCTCCATCCAAAGTCACGTCTCCTAAACATATGAACAACACACACTAGACGACATCACTACAATACATCACCTTAAATTCACCGGAGAGAAAACGTTATAGTACAGTTAATAATATAAGCATAATTAGGTATAGTCTTGATGTTTGCCAGCAATTCTCTGTCTGAAGTGTGCACATGTATTAGGATGAATTGAGGTTAGTTGGTCATCTCACTGGCTGTTTCTCAATATGCGTTCTTCGGCGATTTTGCATCCTCGTGTTATGTCATTATCAACTGCCTAAGTTCAGTTCCAATACTCAAGACCGCAAGAACGGAGGATTCAATTCAATTCAATTCAGCTTTATTTGTATAGCGCTTTTACTATGTAGATTGTGTCAAAGCAGCTTCACATAAATGGTCATAGTAACTGGAACAGTTTAGTTCAGTTTTTAGTGTTTAAGTTCAATTCAGTTTAGCTCAGTTCAGTGTGATTTAATCATTACTGAGAGTTCAAACACTGAAGAGCCAATTCATCGATGAGTAGCTCTACCAATCCTGAACCATGCGAGGCAGTGGCGACAGCGGAGAGGGAGAAAAAACTTCACCTGATGGGAGTGAAGAAAAAAAACCTTGAGAGAACCAGACTCAGTTGGGCACGACCATTTTAATTTCTCCGCTGGCCAAAAGTCTTGTGCGTGAAACTTCCCGAATGTGTTCTTGATATCGAGGACAAACCAATGCACTTAGCACCGACCTCGCTCTAGAAGTCCCAGAAGTCATTGCAACTGGAGGTGGGAAACGCAGCATTTAATATAGATTTATTTTAAAAGTTCAGAGATATGACTTATTTACCTCAGGAGTTTCCCAAAATGACACGGTGAATATAAACATTACCATGATAATCTTAATAAATAAATAAACACATTAAGGGTGTTTATTTGCTAAAATTATTATTTAAATCGTTTTATTTGTATTGTGCAACGTATATTTGTAGGTTTTTATGCAGAGTAAATATTGTGAAAAAGGGAAAAACAATAAATCGTTGTATGAATGCTGTAATGTTTAAATAATGTTTGGGTTAAAGATGTGTAAGGGTCATGTGACCATTAGAAAGAACGCAGCATCTTATTTCTAACAGGACGCTTTCTCTGTCCTCCTGGTCTCACTTGCTCGTTCTTCTGAGGTGACCTAGCAAGACCGGTCTTCACAAGAATGCAAGTCTGTTCGCTGCGTTCTTGGAATTGAGAAACAGCCAGTGTCCCACATTGACCTGCATTCACTCGTCTACATAATTTGACAGGCAGGTAGGACGGCCTATTGTAACATTCGGACTTAACATTTTGATTGGACAAAATTTTCTTGGTCCTACACTTTCTACAGAACATATAAACACATTTAAATCACTTTTTTAATTATTGCTATATGGATGTAGAGACTTTGACAACCAGCATAACAACAATTGCTTCTAAAGACCATCACCCATTGCACCTTTAGTATTTTAATGCATTTTTTTCACACAAAAAATCTGTAAAATTATTAAAAAATGAATGTACTAGGTATAATAAATAGAATATATGGTTACAAAAACATCTTTATAAGTATAAAAATCCCTGCAGTATCCTTCCCAAATTGCCTTGCCTTCCTTTATGCTCTCAAGCCAAATACAGAGAGCGGTTCACATATTCCCATCAAAGCACCAATACCATTTCATTGGCATACGTGATCATGTGTGAGAGAAAGAGAATGAGAACAAAACGTCTGCCATTCAGTCATGCTTCTCCTTTCTGTGGTTAAAGTTATGAGGATGGGAGATATGGCTATGAGCATGAGGTTTCTGAAGAGCGTGGCAGAGGAAGGGAAAGAGAGCGAGGAAGAGACCGCAGAGAGAAAGAGCGGAGACGTCTAGACAAAGAGATGGGAGGGTCGTCAAAAGCCAACAGCACCACGTCAGGCCATTCACAGGTGCCAGAGTTTTATACTGACCTTCTGACTTCTGCAATGTCGAAGTGCGCTCGCTTTTGTGATTGTTTCAGAACTTCCGATTAAGTTTCCTATGGGAGAAATAAATAGGAATATTAAATGCAAGAAAATGCTTAAACTCCTGCTCAACAAACAAGTGTGTTCATGAATATACATAAAAAGTAGAATAATATAATAAGAAAAAGACTGTTTTTAAGATGTTTTTAACATCTATATATCAAAAAGATTCTAATGGCTGTGTATACTCATATGTGAAGAAGTTCAATAGAGGAATTTATTCTGTTGAATATGCCTTGATAGACCTGAAACCTGTCAAAATAAAAGATGAAAACAGTCATATATCGGGACAAATGATGAAATGTGCTAAATATGCTAACAACAATAATGTTCAAAAGCACACTAACAACATTCTGTAACACACGAAAATCATGTCACATGCTAAAACATGCTTGCAAGACACTAAAACACATTTCAATAATCTAGCAGCCTTGATGAAACTTATCAGTTTTACGACATGGCTAAACCATGTGTGCTACAAAACCATGGTATTTGTAATTAAACTGCAATGGTAGTACAAATGGTAGTCAATGCACCCAAAAATCATGGTTACTACACCTTTTCTACAGTAAAACTATGGTCAATTTTTATAAGAAAACTCTTAGCAATCAAGTACAATAACATAGCAAACAGCTAAAAACATCCTAGCGCAATATTATCTTAGATTATTAAAAAAATCTTCCCATGTAACCCTTTAACAACCCACACAAAACAGATAACATAAACACTTATGTTGTACACATACCACTTATACAGAACTACACACTGACATATAGCTCATCATACATAAGTAAACGCTTGAAGTGGATCGAAAAACTTTTACCAAACTGTCCAAAAACAATGGATGTAGATCAATACTTTGATGAAAGGTGATATATATATATATATATATATATATATATATATATATATATATATATATATATATATATATATAATTCAGTTTAAACTAGTTTAACTAACTTTAAAGTATATTTGTGAATATGTTTTACCAGTTTTACTACATGGCTAAACTATTGAACGTACCAAACTATCCTACAAGTATGGGATGGAGTTCAAGGTGATCCACTTCAAATGTTGACTACTTTATATTTTTATATAACTTAATTTTTTAGTATCTTTCTGAATATGTTCTTAGAAGTCCAATAAAAATGGAGACATTAGGATGACAAACGGAGGACACAGAGGTCAAGAAAAGCCCCCTCCTATGCAGGTAACACTCACCTACAAACACCACTAGTTTACCAACCAACACTGAGGTATTAGGTTTCTAGCTCAGAGGCAGGTATTTATCTTCGCAGAACGGACTTTTGAGCATCCAGACAGAACATAATTCACATCTAACGCAAGATATCGAAGTTTTAGTAAAGTTAAGAGATGATTTGAAGCGTAAGTTGTGCTGAGAGAAGCTGCACAATTCAGTACTGTCAGTGTTAATGTGTCAAACCGCGAGCAGCTTCACGGAAGCTCCAGTCACATGACCAACGGTTAGAGATGCTAGTTTAGTCACGCAGGGATAATTTAACCAGTTTGTATTCATAGATATTTATAAAAGCACTATTTCAATGCGGAAACTGCTTAAATGACCGCGAATATGTATGTATTCAATATACGACTAGATCGTCGAGCAGTTCTATGACAACATACTTGCAGGAATTGAGCAACTAAACCAGTTTCTTCCTTCTTTCATGCCAACATCCGGATACACACATGTCGGTAAGTCGTTTATATTTTTGTGTTTACTTAAAATGTTTGAGTAAATGATTCGTTGACGCGCGTATAAATGCGCGCTCACGGTTGCGTGAGTGCGCGTTCTGGACTGGCATGTCTCGTGCTCTGGATTTACTCGATCTGCTCTGGAATGTCATGTCTTGTTTTGGATTAATTCATACACTTAGATATCGTGTATACGTGATTTATTGAGCTGCATTTCGGCTACATTCACTTGTTTTGTATCTGTTTCATTAAAAGGTTGACCTTCTGAACGGTAAAAAGGGATGGATGTATTTGCTGGATGAAGATGAGGAGGTAAGGAGACAGATTTGCTGACCCTTATTTATTTCTATGACTGTTTATCAGGCTAGTTGCCATAACTTTGCTTCATATATTTAATTTGAACACTTATTTCATAATTTTAATTGTTACACTTGCAGATTTATAATCTAATATTAATTAATATATTTGATTTTGCTCCAAGCTACCTAAAAAGTGTTTGTTGAAAAAAAGAGGAACAAACTTAATAAATACTATAGTGTTTTTGATCTGTACCAGCTTAAAATGAATCTGTTGTGATAATTATGTAGTTACTACAGTAATACAACAATTATAGAGACATAAGCAACCCAATACTGTAGCTTTCTGCAACTCTAGGTTGATTATACTACAATACAACACAGTTTACCGAAGTAAAAACTATAGTATACTTCAATATATAGTACAATTTATTAGTTCACTACAGTTAATACTCCATTATTCTGTGGCAGTCATTTGGAAAGTGTGGTAAATATTATAATATATTCAGTATGATACAATTTAGTATGGGTCAATAATACTTTAGTATTTACAGTAAATTCCTATAGTATTTTTTCATGTGGAAAGTTAGATAAACATAAATGTAAAGGTTTGATGTGAGTATGAATTTACTGTCATGCAAATGTTTATGCAAATGAACACTATAAACACCTATAACACCTGAGTTTTGGTTATTTGCAGTGGAGAAAGTTCTGGTTTGTGATCACTGACTCTGGATTAAGATACTATAGGGACTCTGAGGCTGAAGAGGTGAGCTAAAATCAATACACTTTTCATGCAGTTAAAATATTTCAAAAATCAGAAAGCTCAAACATGTTCAATAATTAATAATAGTGGTCTTTAATTCTCTGTGTGTTTCTGCTTGATAGAGAGATGAAGCAGATGGTGAGGTTTACTTGCGCCATTGTTTGCGAGTGGAGGAATTTGATGCAGACAAAAACTATGGACTTCAGTTGCATGTGAGAAAATGTTTTAATATTTGTGTATTGTTCAAATCTTCTACCCGTTTGTTATGTTGGGGGCTGTTTTAACCCCATTGACTTCTATTATAATGACATTTTTGATTACGGGCTGTTTTGCCACATTGACTATCATTATAATGACATTTTTTGACTGCAAAGCCATGATCACATATAATCATGCATTCTTGATTGTTGGTGGTTTTGGTTTCCCTTTTGGGAAGAGGTAAAATTGGTAATTTTTACTGTTAATCATCAGTAGGCAATATTAACCCTTTAGGTAGGCCTGTGCAAAAGAGTTTCTGTATTTATATGGAGTTCTATGGAGTATAACAGCCAGTGGCGGTTCTAGTTTAAATGGCACCCTGGGCTAAACCACCCCAAACCTCCCCCATCCCCCAAGAAATAAAGACACTATGTGGTTGACTTTATGTATATTTTAAATATTTCTATATATATTTTAAATATATACATTTCAAATAATAATTATAAATACATTTAAATATATTTATTTATTTTCAATAAAAATAACAATTTGTTTATTATTATTATTATTATTATTATTATGCCATTATTATTATTATTATTATTATTATTATGCAATTATTATTATTATTATACAATTATTATTATTATTATACAATTATTATTATTATTATTATTATTATGCAATTATTATTATTATACAATTATTATGATTATTATTATTATACAATTATTATTAATATTATTATTATTATTATTATACAATTATTATTATTATTATTATGCAATTATTATTATTATTATTATGCAATTATTATTATTATTATTATGCAATTATTATTATTATTATTATGCAATTATTATTCTAAATGAATAACAGAAATCAATCCTAAATGGAACACAATGTAAAAAAACAATGTAAAGACACAACTAGAATAATATTCTAAGACTTTTTCATGAATATTAATTATGACGGTTGTATAGAATACAAAAAAATATGTTTTATAGAATTATCTTTTCTCTTAGACCCGACTCATGGCCGAGAACTAATGTTATGAAGTCTTAGCTAACTCCCTGACTGATTATTCCTCCTTTCTGCTTCATAGCCATGCTTAGTCAAAGAAACATCATCATCATATGATATAAACTTTAGTTTTGTCGACTTGCATGTCGACACATATCGGCGTGCATGTACAGTTAACAACCGGGATCAGGAGCAGCGAGTGTGAATGGCTTTCTGACATCGTCAATTTGCTTTCACTAGCGTTGTTTTGGTTGCACCATTGCATATAAAGAATAACAAACTTGCGCATACAAAAGACGCCAAATGTAAATAGACCCTAACATCTTTATTCTGGGATAATAAACACTTTAAATTAATGCACTTGCATAAAGTAAATCTAATCCTAAAGCTTTAACTGGGGCACTTTTTTTGCACCATCTCCCCATGCTGCCCTGGGCGAACGCCTATACTGCCCATGCCTAAATCTGTCACTGATAACAGCATAATGATAGTGTGCATAAATACACCTACTATGTTTACTATGTTTTGAGATCTGAGGTGCTTATTTAGATTTATTTAGAAGTGTGCAAAGGTCTTTCTCACACACGCACAGAGACACACAAACACTATACTCCATATAACTCCACATAAAAGCCACAAACTTAGCTTTTTTTTGCACTGCAACTGATGATCTACAGAAATAATTACTAATAGACCTCTTCACAACAGGGAAAACCACCAACAATCACAAATAAATAATTATATGTTGTCATAAAAATGTGATTATAATAGAACTCATTGGGGCAAAAACAGTCTCTAAAGTAATAAAAGGGTAGTAAATTTTCCCGCTGTGTATTCTTGAGATTTTATTTTTTAATTTCCAAAGCATTTGCCCATAATATGTGTCAAAATAAGATTTGTGACCAAAAATTAATCCTTAGGCGACGCAGTGGCGCAGTGGGTAGCACGTTCGCCTCACAGCAAGAAGGTCGCTGGGTCGCTGGTTTGATCCTCGGCTTAGTTGGCGTTTCTGTGTGGAGTTTGCATGTTCTCCCTGCGTTCGCGTGGGTTTCCTCCGGGTACTCCGGTTTCCCCCACAGTCCAAAGACATGTGGTACAGGTGAATTGGGTAGGCTAAATTGTCAGTGGTGTATGAGTGTGTGTGTGTGGATGTTTCCCAGAGATGGGTTGCGGCTGGAAGGGCATCCGCTGCGTAAAAAATTTGCTGGATAAGTTGGGGGTTCATTCCGCTGTGGTGACCCCAGATTAATAAAGGGACTAAGCCGACAAGAAAATGAATGAATAAATCAATCAATCCATTTGCTGAAACACAGCGAAAGTTGTGGTCAAATGAAGACTCAAAATCACCCCATAGTGGATGAAAACCTCCCCAATAACTTACAAGGGTCAAGAAAGCATCAGATTGTGTAATTGTAATAATATTCTGAATGCATTCCTGAGTGATAAACCTGCGGCCTGCAGATGCGCGATGGACTGGTGACGCTGTCGGCGATGACCTCCAGAATCAGGAGGAACTGGATCGACACTTTGAGGAGGAAAATCTCCTTCAGGGATTCAGCGGACAGCATACAGTAAGACAACAACTGAAAAGCAATCTGGGATGATTTCATGAAAATAACTATTCTGAATATGGCTGAATATTTACCATGAAGTTTAACTTGAGCATTTCTGACTCATGTTCCTGTTTTCACGCATGTAGTGAATGAGTCTTTTTTGATTGGATTATGAATATACTTTTGAACAACTGTTTATTTTTATTTAGGTTTCAGGTTGAATTATAAAACACATATAATTTTACGTATTTATTCATACATAAGACATTTCTATAATCATCAGCAAGATTTTGGACTTTTAAACTAAAATTCAATTCAATTCAATTTATTTATAAAGCACTTTAAAACAACACAGTTGACCAAAGTGCTGACAACAAAGAGTAAAACAAACTTTAAAATACAAATAAATAAACATAAAATGTTAACATCTCAAGCTGTGCTAAAATTGAACAGGTGGGTTTTAAGAAGGGATTTAAAAACAGTGATGGAAGAGGCTTGTCTAATGTACAACGGTAGCTCATTCCACAATTTTGGTGCAGCCACAGCAAAAGCCCGATCCCCTCTGAGCTTTCGACTGGTCCTGGGCACACCCAGGAGGAGCTGGTCGGCTGACCTGAGCGAACGATAAGGTGTGTAGGGACAGAGAAGCTCAGAGAGGTAAAGGGGTGCAGCACCATTTAGACACTTAAAAACAAATAAAAGTACCTTAAAATGGATGCTGAAGTGCACGGGCAGCCAGTGAAGTGAAGATAAAATCGGGGTGATGTGCTCGTATTTGCGTGTGCCAGTTAAAAGACGTGCAGCTGCATTCTGAACCAGTTGCAGTCGAGAGATCAAAGACTGACTCACCCCAAAATAAAGGGCATTACAGTAGTCCAAGCGGGAAGTTATAAAAGCATGGAAATAACCATGATGATTAACTAGAGCCTAGGTTTGACTCATGCTCCTTTTTTTCTCCAAGTATTAATCTGAAGTCTCCATTCTCAGACACCTAGACAACAGTGACATCAGTGACAGAGAAAACTCCAGTTCCCAGAATGCACCATCACAAACCTCTCCTGCGCCTCGTGAGCCGTGCTCAGATGATGGTGGTTTGTATGAAGATGAACCCGACATCACTTGCTCTCCTTTAACCAATCGTAGAGAAGCAGGCGAGGGTCGGGACCGAGAGCATGAGCGGCGTCTGGAGGACCGAACCAAGTGGTTCCAGGAGGGGGTTTCCGACAGGGAGGGCGACGATCCGTGGGATAAAGTGGAGCTGAAGAAAGGGGGCACTCCAGTGGTTTTGACCCAGCTGCAGGTTCCTAAAGCCAAGACGGGGCCCGACATCGAGAAGAAGTGGGAAGACTTTGAGCAGCTTCCAATTGGAGAGAAAAGGTCACTGGTCGGTTCCCAGAATCCACAAGCGGCAAATGAGGCCCTTCAGAGAGAGGTGTGGGCTTTGTTTTCTGGTCGATGTAATAATGTAAAATTTAACAACTTTTGGGATCAGATTAACTCTTACAGCAGCTCAAATCATTTTACAGTGTTAAAAACGAAACATAGTTATCAAGTTATCAATAATAATAATGATTTTTTTGCTCTATGTTAGTTTTAAACAAGTGCTTTAGGCTAGTTTTGAACAGCAGACAGGGCTCAAGGCTAGTTTTGAACAGCAGACAGCGCTCTAGGCTAGCTTTAAACAGCTGATGGTGCTCTAGGCTAGTTTTGAACAGTAGATGGTGCTCTAGGCTAGTTTTGAGCAGGTCCTTTCGGCTAGTTTTTACCAGCAGGTGGAGTTCTAGGCTAGTTTTGAACAGCTGACGGCAGTCTAGACTGGTTTTAAACAAGTGTTGATGCTCTAGGCTAGTTTTGAACAGCAGAGCGCGCTCTAGGCTAGTTTTAAACAGCAAATGCACTCTGGGCTAGTTTTGAACAGCAGATGGTGCTCTAAGCTAGTTTTGAACAGCGGACGGCGCTCTAGGTTAGTTTTAAGCAGCTGATAGTGATCTTGACTACTTTTGAACAGCAGGTGAAGCTCTATGCTAGTTATGAACATCAGAAGGTGCTCTAGGCTATTTTTAAACAGCTGATGGTACTCTAGGCTAGTTTTGAACAGACCCTCTAGGCTAGTTTTGAACAGCAGATCAAGCTCTAGGCTAGTTTTTAAACAGAAGATGGCACTTTAGACTAATTTTGAACAGCAGACGGTGCTCTAGGCTAGTTTTGAACAGCAGAAGGTGCTCTAGGCTAGTTTTGAACATTAGACGGTGCTCTAGGCTAGTTTTAAACAGCTGATGGTGCTCTAGGCTAGTTTTGAACATACGCTCTCGGTTAGTTTTGAATAGCAGATGTTGCTCTAGGCTAGTTTTGAACAGCAGATATCGCTTTAGACTAATTTTGAACAGCAGACGGTGCTCTAGGCTAGTTTTAAACAACAGATGATGCTCTAGGCTAGTTTTAAACAGAAGACGGCACTTTAGACTAGTTTTGAACAGCAGATGGTGCTCTAGGCTAGTTTTGAACAGCAAACGGCGCTCTAGGCTAGTTTTGAACAGCAGATGGTGCTCTAGGCTAGTTTTGAACAGCAGATGATGCTCTAGGCTAGTTTTGAACAGCAGATGATGCTCTAGGCTAGTTTTAAACAGAAGACGGCGCTTTAGACTAGTTTTGAACAGCAGATGCTGCTCTAGGCTAGTTTTGAACAGCAGATGCTGCTCTAGGCTAGTTTTGAACAGCAGATGGTGCTCTAGGCTAGTTTTGAACAGCAGATGGTGCTCTAGGCTAGTTTTGAACAGCAAACGTCGCTCTAGGCTAGTTTTGAACCGTAGATGGCGCTCTAGGCCAGTTTTGAACAGCAGACGCCGTTGTTCACCATTATAACTGTACAACTAACAAATATAAAAAATATAAAAGCATTTGCAATTAAATGGTTTATTTGATTTTCCCATGACTAGTAAATCTGTCCCTCAGTGTTCGTATTGCTCATTGTGGATGTGTTGCATTGGTCAGGTGTTGTCTCTGAGGCAGCAGATCGAGTCTCTCCGTCAGGTGCGTGTCGGAGCTCTCTGTGGTCCTGAAGCTCCCTGCGCTCTCAGACTGCAGCAGATGGAGGAAGAGCACAGAGAGAGACTGAAGGAGATTCATGAGCAACATGAGCGAGAGCGCAGAGACATGGAGACTGAAAAACAGAGGCTGCTGCAGGAGGAGGCCAAAAACACACTCCAGGGTCAGTAAGGGACAAAAACAAGGGGAAATATACTAATAAATGAGGGATTTTATTCAACAAGGAAGCATAAAATTCAACAAAAGTGACATTCCATTTGGTTCAGTTTCATATGATATTTGGTAACACACTTTACAACAAGTTAATGTATTTAATAACATGAACTTTTCTGCTCCTGCGTCATAAGTGTCTACAATATTTTCATCTTCATTGTCCAGCTATGGAGGCTCTGAGGAAAACACACCAGGAGGAGATCGAGAGGCTGAAGGGTCACGGAGGAGAAGAGTTAACAGACCCGTCCATCAAACAACAGCTGTATGTATACACACACGCACACACATACACACACAAACACACACACACAGAACTCAAGCCAACAAACATTAAACAATATAGTAATCTACAGTAAATACTATAAACACACTATACTAATGTGCTTGAATTATTCGGTTGTGGTAATTCTACAGTATAGTTACACAATGATAACACAACTTTACAACTTTAGTAATATAAGCAAATAATCCAATACTGTTGTTTAACTATGGGGTTCATTCATTTATTAATTTTCCTTTAACTTAGTTGCTTTATTTATTAGAGATCACCACAGTGTACAACATATGTTTTACACAGCGGATGCCCTTCCAGCTGCAACCCAGTTCTGGGAAACACCTATTCACTCCCTTTCACACACATACTATGGCCAATTTGGTTCATCCAATTCCTCTATAGCGCATGTGTTTGGACTGTTGGGGAAACCGGAGTATCCGCAGGAGACCCACGCCAACACGGGAAGAACATGCAAACTCCACACAGAAATCTCAGCTGGCCCAGTTGGGACTCGAACCAGCGATCTTCTTGCTGTGACCACTGAGCCACTGCGTCGCCCTTATAAAGAGTTAATGCTATATTATACTTTACTATAGCATGGTTCAAAAATACTATTCTAAAATACTACAATGTTTTTGTCATGTGAGGATACACACAAGGAAACGCCACTAAAACAGCTCCAAGCACATTTCTGAGGTGCGTAACATTCAGAACATTGCGAAAACATGTCGACATATCCCCGTTCAGCAACTTGTGCATCAACAATCTTGTGCAATGCAGACTGTTTTTGAAAACCATACAATAATGAAGCAGATTTCACTTATTAAGATCAAATCATAATCGATGCATGTTGTTCACAAACACTTTATTTTTAGAAGGTCTCAATCAATCCAGCTGATTTAACTGGTTAAAATAAAATAACATCAAGGAATGTAGCTTCCTTATTAAAACACAATCTAAACAGAAATTCACATTACCTTTTATATTTTAAACCAGCTGTTTTAAATGTAATTATTTTTACACTCACACTGTTGTTATGTCAGGGGTGTAGATTTAGCATGGACGGAGGGGACACGTCCCCACTAATATCCATCAACTAATGAAATGTCCTCACCAATAATTTAATTGGCACCACCCCCCAAACACAAATGAACATTGTGATTGGCTGAGCCTTTCCCTGCTGTCATGTGAGAGGCTGTAGCTGCGTTCAAATACAAGCAGCGAGCCCCAAAACTGTGCAGGGGAATTTGTATGGAGGTGTGTGAGGTGTGTGACACAGAAAAATCAGGGATTCAAACAGTATAAAGTGCAGCAAACTATGCAATTTGATGTAGTTGTTAGTAATTATATTGGTAAAAAGATATACAATTTTCTTAATGTACTTATAATTAATAAGTATAATAAGTATAAGTAATAATATGTTTGTAACAGCACAGCAGACTACATAAAATGCCAACCCAGGCTCATTGTGGAAACCTAGTCCCGCGGACGTTTCTGGAAACCGCGGAATACGTCCCGGCGGGTACGTACGGCTGCAGTTTTTGTTTTCGCGAATCCGCGAGAGGCCGCTGTTGCGCGCTTTTTCGCACCTCAGACGCCTCTCGCAAGCGCGGTTCGCGCCCGCACTGTTCTCGCGTGAACCCGCCGGAGGCCGATGTCCGACTGACCGGATGATTGACTGCTCGACTGGCCAATCGGCCGACTCGCCCTCCTCCTTCCCCGAACCCAACCAATCTTACCGATCGACCCGTCCGCCCGCTCGCTTCCCTAAACCCGAGCAACAGTTCACAAAAGCCGTACAAAAAAATGAAAGCCCTGATTTTTTTTTTTTATTCTACCGCGTTTTCGGATTTCGCCGCATTCTTACCCTGTCACGAAACTCGTTCACTTAATTTTTGGGATTCTGTTTTTGTCTTACCTGATTGCTGGAACTGCTCTTCCCCGGACTCGAAACCGGTCGCCGTGGTCGACCCCTTCTCTGCATCTCGAGCCTGCCGACGTACACGCTGAGCTGAGTGGACGAACAGGTTGCAGCGGGGAAGCCCTCTACAAGGAGGTAAGGCAAGTGCGAAAGGGAACAGCGTCACACCGCCCCGAAGCGTTCGCTTGAAAAAAAATAAACGCGGCCGTACGTACCCCCCGGGACGTATTCCGCTGTCTCCAGAAACGTCTGCGGGACTACGTTTTCAGAATGAGCTTGGGTTGCAAAATGCATGTACATATTCATTTATTTCCTTAGTCACTTATATATCAGGGGTCGCCACAGCGCAATGAACCGCCAACTTACACACATACACACTCACATTCACCTGCATACACTAAAGCACTTTAGTTCATCCAATTCACCCATAGTGTTTGGACTGTGGGGGAAACCGGAGCAGCCGGAGGAAACCCACGCCAACACTGGGAGAACATGCAAACTCCACACAGAAAGGCCAAGTGACCCAGCCGGGACTCGAACCAGCGACCTTCTTGCTGTGAGGTGACAGTGCTAACCACTGAGCCACCGTGCCGCCAGCAGTGCATATTACTAATCAAACAATGTACTTGATACATGCAGTAAGAAATAATCTGCTTTATTCTAGAGGTTTAGTGAAGGCGAGTCATTTTGTCCCAAAGGATGAAGTATACAGAACTATAGGACAACAGGACGGTTAAATCAATCAGTAGGTAATTCAGTTTATCAATACATTTGTGTGTGTGTGTGGCAGGCATGAGTCTCTGTCTCTGCAGCGTGAGCTGGATGGTCTGTCGCAGCGTTACTCGCAGCAGTGTGTGGAGCTCAACCGCATCCAGAGCGGCACTGACGAGAGAGACGGACAGATCCGACAGAAGGAGAGAGACATGGAGCAGCTCCGCATGGAGAACCAGGTAGACTGATGAAGCTGATTAGAGGAGTGTATGTAAATTTCAGGTGTATTTAAAGATCCTGTAAAATTAAAATCAAGTTATTTAGATGTTAGTCTATATCAGTATGTTAGTCTAAAAAAAATCTATAAGCTAGTGTGCTCAAAAACTACCTCATACTTCAGTTTCTCATTGATTTTTCTGACCAATCAAATGCTCTCTAGTATATGCCATGCCCTGCCCGCTTCCCAATGCTTCTCATTTGATGTGCTTGAGTGCTTGCTTCACAAATTAAGTAACGCATGTTTTAGAAATATAGTGCACCAGTGGCTTGTGGACACCATGTACTTTCTGAAAGTAGAAAAGATCAGATGCTCTTGCTTTTTATGATAAATGGCAACCCCTCATAACTTACTTCCAGTCGCTTCTAAGTTTGTCCACTCATTGTATTTTTCCAGTTCATTGACATCACCTCCTCCCCCCCTTCCCCCCTACTTTTATCTTGTTTTTATTTATTTATTTATTTTTTTATTATTATTTTATTTACTCCTTTTTATTTAATATTGTTGCTGTTATTATTGTCATGCTATTTATCATTTTTTTATATATATAAATGTTTTATTGTTTTGTCACAAAGGTTTAAAAGTGGAAAGTCTTTCACTAAAAAAACAAAAATAATTATAGTGTACAAATAATCAAGGATTGATGATAATTTGTAATATAGTTTGCACCAAGAGGGCCCCAAATAAAATCCTGCTTAGGGTCCCCTGAAGGCTTGGGCCGGCTCTGCCATTAAACAAATGTTTCAGTTTGACATGCAGCACGAATGATCAACTCATTGTCAGTGTCTGAATGAGATAAAAACCTCATGTGTGGTTTTTCAGTCTGTATGTGTGAGAATGACATTTCCTCTTCCTGTTCACACAGGAACTGCAGGCGCGTCTGACGGAGGAGATAAGCCTCATGCGATCCTTCATCACAGGTCAAAGGTCAGGCGTTGTTCCCCTTGGCAGCTACGAAAGAAGCACCTCCGAATTGGAGGTGAGCTCTGAAAATTCTCTTATTGGGACCCATCATACACCTTGCGTCATGGATGTGAATTGGATTTACTATTTACATTAGAATTTAAAGGCTCTATTTTGGGCTCTATTTTGATGTCCCATGCGCAGAGCGCAAAACGCAGGGCGCAAACGCTTTCAGGGCGTGTCAGAATGCATTTTTTCTGCTTTGCGCCGTGGCTCATGGTCTAAAAGGGTTGAGTTTATTTTCTTAATGAGTTATAGGTGTGTTTTGAGAATAAACCAATCAGAGTCTCCTCTCCCATTCCCTTTAAAAGTCAGTTGCGTCGCCCCATACCGCATTTGCTATTTACATGACGTAAAGTAATTGTAGGTGGAAAAACTGAGCATTTCACTAGCAAGAAAACAGTTAAACAGAACATCTACGGCACGAGAATGACAGACAAATGATCTACTTTCACTTTCGCTCTCCTGGATAGGGAAACCTTTACGCACAGACATCAATTAGCCTATTCATTCATTTACTTGTCAGCTTATCCCTTTATTAATCCGGGGTCGCCACAGCGGAATGAACTGCCAACTTATCCAGCAAGTTTTTACACAGCGGATGCCCTTCCAGCCGCAACCCATCTCTGGGAAACATCCACACACACATTCACACACACACTCATACACTACGGACAATTTAGCCTACCCAATTCACCTTTACCGCATGTCTTTGGACTGTGGGGGAAACCAGAGCACCCGAAGGAAACCCACGCAAAGGCAGGGAGAACATGCAAACTCCACACAGAAACGCCAACTGAGCTGAGGCTCAAACCAGCGACCATCTTGCTGTGAGGCAACAGCACTACCTACTGCGCCACTGCTTTGCCATCAATTAGCCTATACATATTTAATTTTGTTTGTTAAGCGCAAACATTTGTTTTAAAACTATTTCTAAATTCAGTTCTAATTTCCAGCAAACAAATAAATGAACAACAATAACGAAGTGTGTTCAAAAACCTGAGTTATATCCTAGAACACATGCTGTGCTGTCTAAAACCTGCAGGTGGGCAAATCTAAGCTTGTTTTTAATAAAACAAATATACATATGGATATAATAAATAATACTGCTAATAATAATAACATTATACAAAAGCAAATTGTTCTGAATGAACTGAAAAAGCCTCCCGAGACGAAGAAGACATAAAAGCAGCGGTTTTTCATATTTATGTAGGCTAGAAAATAATATGTTTTGTAATATTTTAATCCTTTATATTTATATTCTATATCTATCCTTAATATTTTAATTTTTTTCATATGTAAAGATATTTGCGTATTGCTCTACATCTTAAGCAGTGTTTAAGCTAGGCGCAACTTTAGTCTTTAGACCGGGTTAGTTTTGGTCTATTGAAAAATCTATTTTAGTTTCTCAAAATTGCAACGCGCCAGCGGTCCGCCTCAGAGCGCCTTCCTTTTTAGACCAGAACGCCTATGGGCGCACATATGAGCGCAAATACATTTGCTATTTAAACAGCGTGGCACAACGCCTCAAAACGACTCTTGCGCCAAGCTGAAACTAGCAAACAACTATTGCGTCACGCCTTGCGCCACATTGCGCTGGGTGTATGATAGGGCCCTTAGTGTGTCAGAAAAGCAAGTGACCTGTCAACATTGGGATATAAAAATACGGGATACGCCCCCAACAACTGTTACAAATATGGAGAGGAAATTAGCTTCAAATGGTAGAATACATAACACATTAGAAAATTTAAAATAAAATGAAAGGTTTAGCCTATTAAAATCCATTTACTGATCACATCAGTGTTATCATACACTTAAAAAAGGGTTAAAAAGTGTTTTTTTACTTTAATTATTCATCGATTCCTCCACATGTGTACCACAGTTTGAGAACCACTGCTATAGAGGAAGGCATCATGTCTTTATAGTGCAATGCATGCAAAGAATTTGGGACACTGGATGCTGAATCCCCTTGATCTCACTGATCATTTATACACTAATTAGCATTTCTGAACAGATTTGTAATTAAACGTTTAAATGAAATAATGCAGAGTAAATAAACTGAAAGCATATTTGTATATATTCATTAATTCATCCTCTTTTCGTCTTTAGTAATCAGGGGTCGCCACAGTGGAATGAGCCGCCAACTTGTCAGCAAGTTTTACACAGTGAATGCCCTTCCAGCTGCATCCCAACACTGGGAAATATATATATATATATATATATATATATATATATATATATATATATATATATATATATATATATCAATTATATATAATTGATTAAAACTTATTAAGATTTTTCTGTTGTTAGATATTAAGTAGTGGATAAAACCCCTCAAAAACATTAAATGAAATGAAATCTTAGCAGTATTTCTCTGTAATTAGATGTTCATTACTGGAATGGGTAAATAACTAATTGATTCACAAGCTGTAATTAGTAAACAAAGAAACAAGCAAAACAGGTTTTCCCATTGTAATCCACCATTTAGTGTCCAAAAATAAATTATCTAATTGATAAATCTACAACAACATCAAACAATGCTGAGAACTGACCTCTAAAAGTCCTCTTGAGAGTCTAAAAAGATCTAACCTCTATAATTGTGTAATAATGGTTGTTGATTCGTGTCCACGTGGTGTAATTTCAACTACAACCAGCAGAGGCTAATCGGCTCATGCCAATAGGTGTTTGGGTTTAAGGGATACAGTAGCGGAAGGAACTTAAACGATATTTATTTACATTATTATATTAAATTACCCATTAAATTGTATTTTATTAACGTCTATCCACTACACTAAACCTCACAGTAATGTTAAAATATTAATTATTGTTGTAGTGTGTCATAAAAAGTATGATATACTGAGCGTATCCGTAGCTGTATCCCTTCTAGACTTTACCGTGTTATGTGGATAAATACTGCCATCTGCTGCTCGCTGCTAAATGTGGGCCCGAGATGGAGATGAAGAGAGGCTTTCAAACTGCAAAACAATAACTGTAACACTTTTTTTATCCATACATTATAGTGCATTTTAATAAAAATAATTATTAATAACAATCAATAATATATATTTTTATTAACCAGGATTTACAGATGACGCACACTGAAATGTTATTTCGAGTAGTTTTAGTTTACATACACACCAATAAATAAATAACTACAATCTTGTCAGACATTTAAAACAGATATCTTGACAACAAACGTCTCTGCTTTAGGATCACAGTCTTAATCTTAAGTCTTAATCTTTGCCGCGGTTATACTTCTAAGTTAACAAAACTTTTATACATTTAAAATATCAGCAAATAGTTTAAACCATTTAAATTATAGCACAATCTACTATATTTACCTATTTCTAAAAGTTATTTCACCCACGTTTCATTTTGACAAGCACATTAATATATACTCTTATATTTAATATGTTTTCCATATATATAAAATTGTTTTAGTATATTTCATTTGATACAGAAACCAAAATGAGGCTTTAATCTTTGAATATATTTACTTTATTGTTGTTGTTATTATTATTATTTTTTTAGTTACATTTTTTATTATCAATAATGGCTGGATTGGCTATCCTGTATTGATGACATAATAAAAGTCTCTATTTAAGGATCACAGTCTTTATCTTAAGCCTTAATCTTTGTCCCTATTCTTTAAAACACTAGGTTTCTGTTCATTTTCCAGCAAAAAGTTTTGATCATTTTAAATATAGCACAATCAGCTGTAATTATGTATCCCTAAAAGTTATGCCAAATGACAATAGAACTTTATTTCAACCAAATTTTATTTAGACAAACACATTAATGTATACTATTAGATTATTCATTCATTTTCTTTTACGGCTTAGTCCCTTTATTAATCCGGGGTTGCCACAGCGGAATGAACTGCCAACTTATCCAGCACATGTTTTATGCAGCGGATGCCCTTCCAGCTGCAACCCATCTCTGGGAAAACTTGTATTATACTTGTATTATATATATATATATATATATATATATATATATATATATATATATATATATATATATATATATATATATATATATAATTATATAAAATTTTATTATATTAATATTATAATATATTATATTATATTATAGGTTTTTAATGTATACAAAATCGTTTTAGTGTATTTAATTTGATGCAGAAGCCAAAATGAGGCTCTAGTCTTTAAATATATATACTGTATTGTTATTATTATTATTTATTTTTTTTATTAATAATGACTGGATTGGCCATCCTGTGTTGCACTGAACTGTATTTGTGTCTAAGATCATTTGTGTGGGTGGTTCATAAATGATTAATGATGACATTTGTGTGGGTGTTGACGTGGATTGTTTTGTCCGTGTATACCATGAAAGAGTATATATAAAGTGCTTAGCTTCTGTTTGTTTTTATCATTTAAATATCCCGGAAATTAATTATTTTTTAAATTTATTGCTGAGTAAAATAATCACTATTAGATTCATCTAAAATAAAAATGTTTGTTTTGACATAATTTAAGTATGTACTATATATATTTATTATGTGTGTGTGTGTGTGTGTGTGTGTGTGTGTTTATATATATATATATATATATATATATATATATATATATATATATATATATATATATATATATATATATATATAAATTAACATGCATGCATATATTTAGGAAAAGGTTTGTTTATATTTACATAGAAAAAACAAATTATATTTAAATTGAAATATCTATGTCACAAAAAAACTAGGCGACATGGCGGCTAAGTGGTTAGCGCTGTCACCTCACAGCAAGAAGGTCGCTAGTTCAAGTCCTAGCTGGGTCAGTTGGTGTTTCTGTGTGGAGTTTGCATGTTCTCCCTGTGTTGGCTTGGGTTTCCTCCGGGTGCTCCGGTTTGAAAAAGTTGCTGGTTCATTCCGCTGATAAATAAGGCACTGAGCTGAATATAGTCACTAAGCTGAAAAATAATGAATGTTATAGTTGTTTTTATGTTATATGTTGTTTTATGCAAGTGTGTGTATATCACAGATACATAATAAATATACTGTATATATGTCAAAACGAGAACTTATTTTGGATCTGATTAATCTTTGCCACTAATTAAAAAATTATTTATTTATTCAACAAACATGCTGTTGTGGTTTTATTTAGGCCTTTATTGGACAATATATGGTACCTTTATTAATATTAATCTATATATATATATATATATATATATATATATATATATATATATATAGTTGAAGTCAGAATTATTAGCCCCCCTAAATTATTAAACCGCTTGTTTATTTTTTTACATTATAGTTTAATAATATCTGATAACTGATTTATTTTATCCTTGCTATGATGACAGGAAATAATATAAAGTTTGCCTCTATATACATACATATAGTCGAAGTCAGAATTATTAGCCCCCTTCAATTTTTTCTCTTCTTTTTTAAATATTTCCCAAATGATGTTTAACAGAGCAAGGAAATTTTTACAGTATGTCTGATAATAATTTTTCTTCTAGAGAAAGTCTTATTTGTTTTATTTCAGCTAGAATAAAAGCAGTTTTGATTTTTTTATGAACCATTTTAGGGACAAAATTATTAGCCCCTTTAAGCTATTTTTTCTCGATAATCTACAGAACAAACCACTGTTGTACAGTAACTTGCCTAATTACCCTAACCTGCCTAGTTCACTTAATTAACCTAGTTAAGCCTTTAAATCTCACTTTAAGCTGTATAGAAGTGTCTTAAAAAATATCAAGTCAAATATTATTTACTGTCATCATGGCAAAGATAAATAAAACAGTTATTAGAAATTAATTATTATAAATATTATGTTTAGAAATGTGTTAAAAAAAATCTGCTCTCCGTTAAACAGAAATTTGGAGAAAAAACAGGGGGGGGGGCTAATAATTCAGAGGGGCTAATAATTCTGACTTCAACTGTATATATAGGCAAATTTTTTTTTATATAAAGTTTTATATAAATATATATAGTCGTGAAAGGTTCAGTCTTGTCATAACCCCCATTGACACTCCAGGGTGCCCTAAAAAGGGTTAATATGCGGTCAAAAATGAATGAGTAAATGTATCAGAATGATAAAGGTGTTGTCTAATATAGTTGTGAATGGATCGTTTGATCACATTGAGTGCTGAAGTGTGTGTGTTTGTGTGTGTGCAGATGTTACTGAAGGTGAAGGAGAGCGAGGTGGAGTTTCTGCACAAGGAGATCAGCTGTCTCAGGAAAGAGGTCCAGACTCTCACTAAGGTACAAATTATGTGTGTGTGAGCTATCTTATATTCCTTACATTGTGGGGACCGCAAGCAAGGGTGCAATTTTGTGTTCTATGAGAGTATATTTGAGGTTGGGCACCCTTATAGTACTGTTAAGACTAATAAAGCCGTTCTCTGTGGGCCCCTAAAGTGTGTGGGCCCTTAAGATCATCCTCACTTACCCATGCTTAGTGGCACTGCTGTCCACAATTACAACAAAACCAGAAAAATTTCTTTTCACTATATTTTTGATCCCCAACTACTGAATTTTAAAGAGATAGTTCATCCAAAAATGTGGAACACAAAGGACGATATTATGAAGGATGTTAGAAAAAAATCAGCCTTTGACTTGCACAGTATTTTTCATTTGTTCCTACTACTGCATCCCCCCTTCACCTGAAGTGCTCGAGCTTGCTTACTGAAAATGATTAGTCTGTGCGCACATAAATATCTTATATACACAATATAAATGTGATATTTGTACCTGCAGGAGAATGAAGCGTTGGGCGAGCGCTATAAAGAGGTCTATGTGGAGCTGAGCGAGTTAAGAGGCCGCAGTGAGAGAGACATCAACGCACTCAAACAACACCTCAAACTCACTGACGCGGCTCTGGAGGAGGGCCGTCTCCTGGGCAACAGCGACAACCAATGAGAACGCAGCATCACTTCACATGCAAACATTAGCACTGGGACGCTTTCTGTTATGAGGAATTCATTTTTGTTAGAAACTACAATGGTGCTAAATATCGGAAACTCTTAAAGCAAAATATGTATATAAACATGCCTCTGTTGAGAGTATGTATTTTGATCGTTATGTGAAAATAAACACAAATCCAGACCATTTTTGGGGGAATTTAGAGTTTTGAATTACATGGAAGCTGATTAAATAAGCTTTTCATTGTTGGAATAGGACAATATTTGATTGAGATACGACTGTTTGATATAAATATGTATTCTGAGGGTTTAAAATAGGTAAACATTGAGAAAATCACCTTTAAAGTTGTGCAAATTTAGCTGTTCGCAATGAAAATTACGAATCAAAAACGAATATACTGTTGGAAATGTATAAAAAATCTTATTTGAATAAGATCTTGATATTGTAATGGTTTTGGGCATAAAAGAAAATTGAAAATATTGTACAATGCATTTTGGCTATTGCCACACATATACCCGCGCAACACAAGTCTCCAGGGTCACATTTATGTTACATATATTACAAGAAAAAACACACTACAAACTTAACAGTCGAGCAATTTATTAAATAGAAGAGAGGCAAAAGTTGAGGTTAGCCTCAAAATATATTGTCGACAATATTTGGAAACATAAAAACAGCATTTAACATTGGCTTGTGGACATGGTTAGTGTAATGCAGGAATGTAAACACACAAAAATATGTGTTGACAATCTTCATTATTGCATAAATATATATATATATATATATATCCTGTTTATCTGCATCAGGCTCCATTCAGAAGACCTTCAGACTGATGCACTGAAGAAAGAAAAGGACAACAAACATTGAAAGCTTCATTTACACTGTAAAGCACCAGATGAATTATTTATATTGAATTTACCTTCACTCAGTCATCATCATCATCATCATCTGGGACGAAGATTTCATGTTCCTCCAAAAGAGCAGCGAAATTTTTACTGATTAAAGTCCCGACATAGAGGAACGGGACCACTACTATAGTCATACGGGTCAAACCGAACGGAACCTGCAGAAATATTAAAGAAAAAATGATTAATTTATGCCTGATAATAAAAATATTATGTATTCACATTTAATCCTCCACTAATAAATATTGACAATCGTTTGTCGTTTTTTTTTTTTTTTTGACAATCGTTAAATCGACAACTGTACACGAAGTACTTCCTCATTTTATAAATTATATGCCGCTCCAACAATATGACTGGCCAACAGTCACGTCAATCAAGACATTCTTAATTTTCATTGGCTAGCAAGAGAGCCAACTCAAATTACTGCGCTCCTTTGGGAGCCTCCAGCTGCAGTGTTTAGATATAAAAAACGTACCTTATCTGGTTTAGGAAGGACACGTCCTGTTGTGGACGACACGGCGGTTCGGCTGAGAGTGGGTCCTGTCACATTCACCGATTTTTGATTAGCATTGCGGCTCAATGTTACTGTATTTTTAACGAAAAAAGCCCGAGAGAGACGACCCACCAGCGACGCCATGTTTCCTGCCTGTGCGTTGTAAAAGACACGCCCCGTGGACACGCCTTCACTGGGTAAATAATTAGGGGGAGGAGTAAATATCACACTAGAAGTGTATTTTTTCTTATATTAAATTGCTAATGTAATTATTAGATAGTATTATTTATTAATATTAATATTAATATTATTTTACAATAATAATGTTAATAAGGCTTCTCAATGACTTGTCAACTCTGCATGTTTATATCAGGTTTATATTTAGAGTAAATGCCTAAACATGACACATTCAATGGGATGGGAGGGATTTTGCACAAACATTCGTCATGAATCAGCTATTTCAACATACACACCCTCCAGATTAGAGGTCTAAGGTCATCTTGCCTACAATATGTGAAAGCTTGACAACAACAACTGTAACACGCAGAATGGTGATCTTTACAAAAGAATTTAACTACTGTGAATATTAATGATTATAAATACATTAATTAATTAAAATAGTTTGAAGTTTGGTCTTTATTATTATTATTATTATTATTATTATTATTATTATTATTGTTGTTGTTATTGTTGTTATTATTGTTATTATTATTATTATTATTATTATTATTATTATTATTATTATTATTATTATTTTATAATTATTATTGTGGTGGTTCATTCCACTGTGGTGACCCCTGATAAATAAGACACTTAGCCAAAGGTAAATTAATGAATGAATATTATTATTGCAAAATGTACAAGAAAATCAAATCACTTTTATTGTCACATCATCAGCAGCACGTGTAAAGGGGCGTTGTAAAAGATACAACACAAAATGTATATAATTAAAAGTAGAAATTAAATTATATGTTGTAATTTTGAACACAGTGAGTATGCGTTAATTATTATTATTATTATTATTATTATTATTATTATTATTATTATTATTATTATTATTGCTGTTGTTACAAAATAATGAGGGAAAGCAGTGGGTAGCACTTTCACCTCACAACAAGCAGGTGGCTGGTTCAAACCTTGGCTGGATCAGTTGGCATATTTGTGTGGAGTTTGCATGTTCTCCCTGTGTTCCCGTGGGTTTCTTCTTCTGGGAGCTTCAGTTTCCCCCACAAGTCTAAAGATATGTGGTACAGGTGAACTGGGTAAGCTAAAATTTACTGGAGTGTATGAGTGTGTGTGAATGAGTGTGTATGGATGTTTCCCAGTGATGAGTTGCAGCTTGAAGGGCATCCGCTGCATAAAACATTTGCTGGATAAGTTGGTGGTTCATTCAGCTGTGGCGACCCCAGATTAATAAAGGGACAAAGCCGAAAAGTGAGTATGCGTTAAAAAGAAGAGCGATTTTGTTTCGAGAACGTAGCATTACATCCACCCACATTTATTTGATTGACAACACTGTTAACCAATCAAAACTCTTCTAGGAGATAGCGGGGCCAATCGGTGAGCTGATCGGATTAGCGGTCTAAGGTAATCTTGCCTACACTATGTGATAAAGCTCGAAGATAGAAAAGATATATAAAAAAAACATTGTCACAAAAAAATAAATAATAAAATTAAAAAAAATATATATATATACTCATTCATTCATTCATTTTCGTTTCAGCTTAGTCCCTTTATTAATCAGGGGTCGCCACAGTGGAATGAACCACCAACTTCCAGCTTATGTTCCCACCAAGCAAAGTTACGTCCAAAAGACGTCTTTTCTACGTCTCTGTCAGACGTTGAAATTACGTCCTCTGAAGAGCCAGAATGAAAGTTTTTATGACGTCTTTTATTGACGTCTTTTCAACGTCTTTTTTCGACGTCTTTTCGGCGTCTTTTTGACGTCCTTTTACAGTATTTTTTAACGTCTTTTTTGTCTATTTACTTTTATTTATTTGTATTATCCCAGCTAACATAAGACCAGCGGGCCACTGGCGGCAAAGTCGGCGGTCCTCTGGCGGGCGCCGCCCGCGGTCCACCGTCAATTTGCTCATCGTTATTCCAGCGGCCCACCATCGGCTCCCGCCGCTTTTCCGACGGTGGTCCGCCATCGGACCGCTGGTTTTAAATAAGTGTCTGCTGGCGGCCCGCGGTCAGTCCACATGTCATTTTTAAATATTATATTAGCCTTTACAATTGTATTCAATATAAATATGTCCAATAATGAAATCAAGTACAAAATACTTAATCATTATAACATTTATTTATAATACTGCATAACGAACATACATTAAACACTTAATGAAATGTTTCAAAAACACATACGTTAACAAATATAACAAAATAAATATAAAATACATATAAAATACATACAAATATAATATAACAACATACATACAACAGTTACATTTTACAGTAGTTTTATAAGTAATGTTAATGGTTTAAATATGAACTAATATGAACAATACCTGTACAGCATAATTTATGTACAGCATTTACTAATGCATTAATAAAATCAGTCATGCTTGTTAACATTAGTTAATACATTGCGAGTTAACATGAATAAACAATTAACAACTTTTTACCATTTACCAACATTAGCAAAGATGAATAAATACTGTAATAAATGTATTGTTTAATATGTTAGTAAATACATTAACTAATACATACAACCTTATTGTAAAGTGGTAGCCATTCAACAATGAGTTTTCTATAATAAAGACAAACTTTGAGACTTCTCATTATAAAAATAAACTATTAAAAAAATTGTATTGTTTATATTTTAACATTATTATAATTATTTATTATAATATTATATTAAATTATAACATTCTTATGACATTTAACGTTATTATAAATAACATAAGAATAAATTACATTGCGAATAAATATTAACATATTACAATAAATCTAAACGTGCATTATTATTACAAAATCAAACTGTAAAACATCTGGGAGGTTATTAATAACTACACTGGGGCAGCACAGTGGCTCAGACTGTCACCTCACAGCAAAAAGGTTGCTGGTATGAGTCCCGGCTGGGTCCGCTGGCATTTCTGTGTGGAGTTTGCATGTTCTCCCTGTTTTGGTGTGGGTTTCCACCACAGTCCAAACACTTGTGCTATAGGTGAATTTGAACATAGTGTAGAAGTGTCTGTGAATACGAGAGTGTATGGGTGTTTCACAGTGCTGGGTTGCAGCTGGAAGGCTATGTAAAACATATGCCAAAGTAATATCCAGTTCCTTACGCTGTGGCGACCCCTGATATTAAGCTGAAGGAAAATGCAGGTTCTTTTGTCTGCCCCCTCATGATTAGCAGATCCTAATAAAAATGTCTTTGAGGCTCCCTTCCGCTGTCTCTCTTGTAGCAGGCTTCTTTCTTATCCTGAAATAACAGAATCATCAGTCATTATTTTTGTCCATCATCAGTAACTAGGTCATTATGGACATTAATGTTTGTATTTTTTATTGTCTTTTTATTGGACATCAAGACTGCATTGATTTGATCGATAACATTAATTTACAGTTTAAAAGTAACACTGAAATATTTTTACAGTTTAAAATAATGATTTTTAATTTCAATACATTGTAAATGGTCTATTTGAGTATTAATAGACTGTCTGCTTAATATCTGTTGATTCTGCTCCTTCAACAGACATTAACTGACCCTAACCCTAACCCTTAATTTACCAAGTACATGTCAACTTACACCAACCCTAACCGCAACCCAAACAGTCTACTTATAATC